AAAACCTGGGCTTTCAATTCTCCTGTCTTAGAGAATTACCTTCTTCAGATCAGTGTGTACCTCTCTCCTGTTTTGCGGCATCTTGAGTTTTCCAATATAAAGTATTACTGTATACCCGTAATAATTCCAAGGGGGGGGGGGAGGCAAGGGATGGAAAGTCGTGTAATCTGAAGAGGCATTTTACTTCTTTGCCCCTGGGCCTGGATGTGGAGCTACAGTTCTCTTGTCCTGACTCTTCGCTAGTGAGTTCTATAGTATTGCTGAGTGGTAGAGCAAGAGGCTATTTATAACCCCGAGAATTTTGCAATGTTATTGAATTGCTTCGACCTAATTTCTACTTCCTTTCTAAAATGAAAATGAAAAGAGTAAGCAAACAAGTGCTGGTAGAGTTCCCCACAGGAGATCCTTTATCTTGGGAAGACTGGCGAATATTGTGACTTCTATTCCCCTATCTCCTGACATTTCTTAGGGAGAAAAGCAGGACATTCCCCTTTTTCTTTTAACTAGAGTCAGGGGTACCAAATCTGATTTTCCAGTGAAACCCATTCTAATGTTAGATATGAAAACAAAACTTTAAACAATGGAATACTGTGTAGTCGGGAGGTGGTGGGACATGAGGGGAACATCAGGCAACTGGGACAATTCCTGCCAGCCCCCTTCCATGTAGAGCCAGCCAGTGCATAGGTGTTGAAGCAGTCAGAGCTGGTGGATTTGAGCGGACACAGGTGCTCACTGAACTATAACTGTGTGCCAGGTGCTATGCTAGGTTATGAGACCACAGGGGTGTTGCTGCCCTGGAGGAGGAGATATCAGAAAGAGAGATGTGTAAATCCTATTTTGTTTTGCTAAGGAAAATTAGGGAAAGCCAAGAATGGTACAGAGAGGAAGTGAAGTATGAGCTGGGCTTTGGCGCTTGAATAGGAGCTCTTTTGATGGTCAAAGGAAGGAAGAGAATGTGCAAAGTTACAGAGGAAATGAAGGAATATGGCCTACCTCATAGAAATAGCAAGGTTAAATGAATTAATATTTGCAAAGACCTTAGAACAGTACCATAGCACTATGTAATTGTCAGCTAATGTCATCACTATCAAAGGAATTCTTATGTAGAGGGAAGAAAACTAACTTTGAAGTCCTAAGACCTAGCCTCGTGACCCAGTTCTGAGGTGGAGGCATATGGAAGACAAGTTTCTCAATCCATCTGAGCTTCAATTACCTCACCTGTAAAATAGGGGTGATTTTCAGGGTTCTTGTGAGCATCAGCTATAATAATGCTGTAGAGTGAGTGATCAACTATAAAGAGGCATCTACACATAACTATTACATACAGATGATTGCTATAAAGTCACCATGTAACTGCTCTGTTTCAAACAAGCCAGACTTATCTGGGTTCTGCTCTTCATTAATTCAGCCAGTGTTCATTAAGGGCCTGCTTGATGCATCACCTTAGGCCTAGTGTGCTGGTGTCTATTCAGACCTCCATTTTAGAGTTCCTTCAAAGCTCGAGGTCAATCTTACTGTAAGACTTTTTAGCTGCAATGAACAGAAATGCAGGCTAGTTTAATTTAAAGGAGTTTTATTGGCATGAGACAGGGGAACTTCCGGTACTGCAAGTGTGGGAGGTGTAGCCATGGAATCTCGAAAGTCCTCAGGCAGTGGTTTCTTCCATCTCTTCCTGGGACTTTGTGGTTTCTGGTTTCTAGTCTCCACTCGTCTGTATATTTCTGGATTCTTTATGCAGAGCAGCTTCCTCTGCAAGGCGCTTGGTTTTTGCTTCTCCATGTCTTTGGCTTATGAATGGCCTCGGCTTGCCATGGTACCTGCTCTGAAGCTGACTATGATCTTTCTGTTCCAGGGCCTATTGCCACCCAACTCCCTTTAAGCCTGTGTCTGTGAGGTCAGGAGAAAGATTGGACTAGTCCAGCTAAGGCTGAGTGCACACCTCGGTGCCTTCAGCGATAGTGGTGTTGGGAAGAGGTCATTCAACACACCGGGCTGTTTGGGCTTTGTGGGAATGGGCAGAGTTACCGAGAATGAGATTTAAAGTATCTCTGGAATAGTCTTGGTGGTTGCAAATCTCCAAGCTTGAAAATGGATATAAATTTTTGGAATAGCCAGGGATCATTCAGGGCTCACTTGAAGAAAGAAAGAATCGATCAACCTAGGAAATGCCTTATGGGTCAAAGTAATGTGGAACTGTAAATCAATGAGCTTTTGCTTGTTTATCTCCGACAGTATCCAGAAAGGAGTTCCAAAAATATGATTTGTTTCTTAGCAGCAACATCGAAATAAGGGTTTAGCTTCTTTGGGTGAGGACTTTGAAATGGGCAACCTGTGTTCGAATTTTTAAGTTCTACTCTAGAAGCAGGGACTTTTAGACTTAGAAGGCATCTCATACATGCTTTGGTTTAACGTACACACCTCACAGAGGAAGAAAACTGAGACTGGGGTAAGAGGCATGTGCACATCACCCAGACGCAGTACGGGAACTGGGACTCGGTCCTGAGTCCTTTGGCTCTCAGTCCAGCTGCTCTTCAGCGGGGAGAATCGTCTCAGCCCGCCGCTCTTGCTGTTGTCCTTGTGCGGTCTGCTTCTGTGAAATTCAAGGAGAACTAACGAATGTCTAGGGAGGCTTACCGCTCAGTTCCATGTATATAAAGTACAAAAGCAGGCAAAGTGGTAGAAGTTGGAAAGACGTCCCCTCTTGGAGGGCTGGAAGGTAGGGGATTGACTGGAATGATGTAGGAGGGAATTTTCACAGGTAATGAAATGTTCAATCTGTAATACTTTCAACAATTAAAAAAAAAAGAATGTTCAAAGTCTTGTTTTAGTTGGGGGTTACAGGGACGAATGTACTCCTATTATATATATTATATGTTATATATTTATATATAAAATAGAAGTTTATATCTATATATAATAGAAATGTATATAAAAGCTCTGTCATTTTATTGTTTGTAAATGACATCTCAGTTTCTAAAGATGATCTCACAACTGACAGTCATGCCCCTAATGAAGGCAGGCTTACTGATAAGGACCAGATGCCTGCCCTAGCACCATAGGTCTGTGGCGCCACCCTGCCTGGCCATGTCACTGGAGCAGAGCATTTCAACCAGGGGTTATTCTTATGGGGCCAGTTTCTACTCAGACATTTGCTGTGTGTCTAAGCACATAAAAATTACACATGAAAAATTCTGCTTGGAGCTGCAGGAGTTGTGGAAGCTTGAGGGGCCATTAGGCCAGCCCACTTCAGTCCCTTTAGGCTTGATTTGGTGGCAGTGAACAGAAATTTAGGCAGGCTCAGTGGGGAGGGGGAGAGCATTGGCCAAAGTTAGCTCCAGCTTCTGTCCCTTCACTACTTATTAGCTGGGTGAACTCGGGCAACTTCACCAGACTCTGAGCTTCATTTTGTCATCTTCACAGGGAGGTAATGATCCTACTCTGCCTGCTTCATAAGGCTGCTGGAAGGATTCAGCAAACTAAGCGAAAGCACTTGGGAAACCATCTCTTTTACATGGTCGTGTTCTGGAAATGCTTGTATTTTTGACAGTTGACCTCTGAAGCAGCCTTTCCTGATCAGGAAATGAAAGCTTCTCTCCTTCTGAGACCCGTGGTTTACAGGGGACAGGGCTTTTACCCCTTTCACCATGCCTGCCAGGCCGAGAACTGCCCTTGGTGTTTGGGCGGGGAATGGGCAGTATACAGGAACTACAGCCCAGCAACAGCTCTGCTGCGTGAACTGCGGGCGAGGGGCTGAACCTGGAGGGGACAGGAGAAAGGTCTTTTTCATGAAGAGGGAGGCCTCTCCTGAACCTGTAGGCAAGGAGTATACATTTGCAGGAAAGAGTCCATCGGTGAAGTGACTTCCCTTCATCAGACCTCGGAGAGAGAAAGCTCTAGCTACTGCTTGGAATACCACTAAGCGAGCAGAGTTGCCTAGGATATCGGTCACATGGGCACATCTTCCAGACTGGTTCAAAATGATTTATTTCCTTTATTTTGGAGAGAAATGGGGGAGGAGGTCAGAGGTACTTCCGAAGCCTTGTCCTTCTCCAGAGGCCTTTGTATGAGGGCACCCTCACCTCCCTACACTTGAGCTCTCAGCAGCTCTTGCCCTTGGTGATAGCAACCAAAATAGCATTTCCTGTCCCTTTTCTCTCTCCCATTTTCTGAACTCTGGATCATCCCACACAGAGAAGGCTCCACATCGTGTCCTTTGAGTGGGAGGGAGTGGCAGCAATAACTAGGGAGGAGGCAAGAGAGCATGTGGCCGGGATCTGCTGACACTGGGATCTTCCCGGATTGACTGCACAACAGAAGGAGGCTGGCTTCTCCAGCTAACTGCTCAACCAAGAGGAGGCTGTGTCTGTTCTTATCCGTCTCCGAGCATATGCTTCCCTCTCCAGGTCCCAAGCCAGGAATTTGCAGTACATGTGCTCTGCCAGAGTCCTCCCGACCCGTAAGCAGAAGTGCCACGTTGGCAGATCTCGCTGCTGGCTGATCTGCAGTTGATAGATAGGTTTGTCCCATTTCTCCTTGCTGATTTCGTCTAAAGAGACAAAAAGCCCAAGAGAGGTTGTGGTGTGATCTAGAAAAATTCTAAGTCATTCCATGTGTTTGGCCTTTGGACATTGTCTGTCTTCCTGTTCTCCAAAATATCTAACAAGAGTGAAAAGTAAAGGCAGCCCTGGCCAGTTTGGCTCAGCGGTTAGAGCATCGGCCTGCGGTCCAGAGAGACCCGGGTTCGGTTCTCGCTAAGGGCACGTACCTCGGTTGCAGTTTGTCCCTGGCCCTGGTTGGGTCGTGCAGGTGGCCCTTTGATGTGTCCCTTTCACGTCGATGTTTCTCTCTCTCTCTCTCTCTCTCTCTCCCTCTCCCTCTCTCTCCCTCCTGCTCTGTCTGAACAAAAAATGAATAAAATGTCCTCGGGTAAGGATTAAAAAAAAAAAAAAGTGAAGGCAAACTCTGTGACTTTTCCCTTCTTTCTGATTCTTTCTCCCCAGGCAGCCGTGTCTGTGTGTGCGTCTTGGAGAAGCAGGGCCCATTGGGAACAATGCCACCACCATCAGATATTGTCAAAGTGGCCATTGAGTGGCCAGGTGCTAATGCTCAGCTCCTTGAAATCGACCAGGTAAGCTCCTGAAATGAGAAACAGTGATGCAAGGAGAGGGATCTGGGAGATGCATGGCAGAGGATGTCTTTAGGGATGAGGACCACCGGCATCAGGAGTAAGAACCAGCAACAGGAAAGCTGAGGCCTGCCCTACCCTGTGGAAGGTTGGTTACCATGGTTTGGGAAAGGCTGCCTCTCAGCACAAGCTATCAGGGAAGAAGTCTGCTGGGGCCCCAGGTTGATCCTGCTGGGCAGCCCTGCATCGGAACCTTGGCACGAGGAGGACGTGGTTGAAAGATCTCTCTTTCTTTCAGAAACGGCCGCTGGCATCCATCATCAAGGAAGTTTGCGATGGGTAAGCTAAAACTACCTTGTTTTGGATGAAGGCAGGCTGAAGATTAAAGGAGCACTGCCAGGTCTCGCCAGGACTTCTGCTCACGGGCCAGTTAGTAAGGTCCCCAGGGTGGGGCTTTTGTGCATCATTGTCTTACATAGGCAGCATGGCAGTGCGGATATCCCTTAGGTCTATCAGCCTTTAGTTTTCCCTTTAAGCCCAGGAATGCCCTGCCTGAGGTCCTGGTGGGATATGAGGCCCATGCTGAGTTGTATTACCTCCTTTTGTGATGCCAATCTTACATGGTTATCTGTAACCTTGAGGAAGTTATTTTTTTAACATCTCAACCTAATGCTTTGATTTTTGTCCTCCAGTTCTCCAAACTTGCCACCTTGAGCAACTGTACTGAAATTATTTATTTGTAGCTTCTAGATAGGCCCAGAGGAGTGGCCAAACAGGCTGTACTATTTTTCTCTTACACAGGTGGTCACTGCCAAACCCGGAGTATTACACCCTGCGTTATGCAGACGGGCCCCAGCTCTACATCACCGAACAGGTCAGTACAGGGAGAAGCAAATCAGTACAGGCCTTGCTTTGCAGCGAACCACCCCAGGAGACCCGCAGTTTACCTTACTCACATCAGGTAGCTCCCACTCACTGGAGAACGAGCTGCTTCCTGGGCCACTGGGGAGCGCCAGCCCTTGTTCTCCGCGACTGGCTGGAACCCTGTGGTCTGACTTCCTGAGAGCCCAGGTCTTGAAGGGGACCTTAGAAGTTCTGTGCCACGAAAGAAGCAGCAGGAGAAGAGGGCCTGACTCAGGAGCCTCAGTTACTACTCCTTTAAAAATGACAGAAAGCTCTTGTTGATTCAACCTGCTTGCACATTTAATATTTTGTCTCAGTTACTCTTTTTTCTCTCTGCTCCCCAGACTCGCAGTGACATTAAGAATGGGACAATCTTACAGCTGGCCATCTCCCCGGTAGGTACTCTGCTTTCCTTAGAAATTAATTTATTTAACAAACACGCATGAGTATCCACCCTGAGCCAGGCTCTGTTCTAGAAACTAAGACTGTGGAGATTAACAAGTTATTCTTTGCTCACAGCCTGGTTGGGAGTAAACAAACAAATACAACCTATGGCCTTTCTCAAGGATCTTGATGGAAAGTTGCTTATGGAGTTATAGGAACTCAGAAAGGGACCACCTGACTCAGCCTGAGGCTTCCTAGAGAAGGGAACATGTAGTTCAGATGCTGAAGGCTGAGCAAGACTAGCCGAAGAGAGAAGAAAATGAAAAGTGTCTCAGGCAGAGAGGTATGCTTTGTTTGGGGAAGGCAGGGTGCTGGGTGGCTGAGGGCCTGTGGTCATCAGTGAGAAGCCAGGTACTGATGTTCCTGATAAGTTTGAATTTTATCTAGAAGGGAGCGTGGAAACACTGAAGATTTTGAGCAGGAAGGTATATTATGTTCAGATTTGTATTTTAGAAAGATCACTCTAGTGGTAGGGTGGAAGCTGGGCCAAGGAAAGGCAGCTTGGTGGCAGGAGGAAGACTCTCTGAGAAGCTAACGAGGACCATTACCAGCCCCCGAAGGCAAATGGCAATGGAGCCGTAAGAACGGTCACGAAGAATATTTACAGGTAAACTGGGTAAATATGGTAGCACACTGGATTTGGAAGGAAAGGGGAGAATCCAGGATGACCCCTGGCGTCTGTAAGAGCAGTCTTCAAAGATCACTGAGGAAGCAACCAGAGGGGCAGGAAGAAAACCGGAGAGTGAAGTGACTCAGGAGCTGAGGGCAGGCAGAGTGTCGGGATGGGGAGGTGTGGTCTGCAAGGAGCAGGGGGATAAAGTAAACCGAGAAGGGAAAGGCTGTCTGTTGATCTGCGAAGTCATTGGTGAGCTTCCTACAAACCGTTTTGGTGAGGTGACAACCAGATTACTGTGGACTGAGTAAAAAGAAGTGAGAATCTCAAGTTTATCACATTATCAAGAAACTTGGTTATAAAAGGGAGTAGATGGAGGTGGTGGTAACTTCAAAATGTGGAGTCCAAAAGATATGCTCTTTAGAACAAGGTAAAACATTCCAGTGTCTGAATATCAACAAATTTGACAAAGACACAGTGAAAGGTCTCCCTCCCACTCCCCTTCCTCCTCTACCCAGTTCCCTACCTCCTCGACCCTTCACAGTTGTTAACTTCCGTTGCAGTTCTTGTGTGCCCTTGCAGATCTGTTCAGGTGGAGGAGGGGAAGGCTGACAGCGCAGGAAAGGGGGCAATAAATGGAACAGACCCTCCTGAGTCAGGACGGCAGGAGCCCAAAGCCCAGGTGGAGGGATGCGCCCTGGCTGCTGGGCCCCGGGGAGGACAGCTGATATGGGGGTAACTTGGGTACATTTGCAGAAAGGCTGCCAGAAAATTAAGGGCATGATGGCACCTGTTTTCTCAATGAAGAGAGAGGCTGGTTGTCTGTGAGGGAGGAAGGCTTGGAGTAATAACAGCCAATATTTCTTCAACACCCAGATTTTGCTAAATACTTTGCATATGTTGTATCCCATAATCCTAGCAAACACCTGAGGAGATGGGCACTCTTAACAGCCCCATTTGGCAGACAAGGAAACTGAGACTTAGAGAGGTTAAATAACTTGCCACTTGTCACACAGCTACAAATGTGGTGGGGCTGTCTCTCCTACCCAGGTCTGTTCGACTCTAGGCCAGTATTCCTACCATCACGTTCTTCTGCTTCCCTCTCTTTTCCTGAACTCATCTTGAGGACTTCATTATTCCCCCCTTAGCTCTGCTAATTTAACATGAGAGCCTGGGAGCTGCTCACCTTTGTAGAAGTGCCCAGCATCTTACAGCCCTCTCTCACTGAGCAGTTGACTTCCCAGAAGCGCCTCTCTGAAGTGCTGTCTCAGGAGGAAGTAACACTTGGAGTTGGAAGTTTCTAAGCGTGATGCAGGCCAGTGCTCTTCAGATTGTTCCCTCCTGTGACCTTTTCTCCTGGAGGACAGTTTCCCGCCGTGGAGTTCTTGGAGGAGGAGTCTGTATCACTGAGAGTAGTGTACTGTTAAGGGCCATCTGTAACAGTTGAGGAGAGGCAAAGGCGAGAGAGATGCACAGGCCCGACTCCTTGGCTGGCAACTGGACTGCTGGGCTTCATTCACATGCTTAGCACTACAAGAAAAAAATAAAGACCACAGGGGCATTTTTGCTCTCAAGACACTCCCGTTCCAACTGAGAATGTTCAGTGGACACACCAGAAATAGAGAAGGATGGAACGGTAAATCGTGAGGCACTGACTGTAGTTAGTAAGGTCAACAAAAGGAAGATCAGTGAGCACTAGGGGGGGATTGTAGCTGTAGCTTGCAGAGTGGAGGCAAGCATTGTGCCAGGAGAAGTTCCCACGTGGGGAGGAGGCTTTGTCACCAGTCATCATCTTCAGAAAGTCATTTTGTTTGTTTGTTTTAAAATTTTTTCTTTATTGATTTTTTTAGAAAGAGAGAGAAACATCGATGAGAGAGAACATCGATTGCCCGCCTCCTCCATGCCCCCCACTGGGGATCAGGCCCACAACCTGGACATGTGCCCTGACCGCAGATTGAACCGCAACCTCTTGGTGCAGGGGCTGACGCTCAACCACTGAGCCACACAGGCCGGGCTCAAAAACCCATTTAGAAATTAACTGCTTCCTGCTCCTTGATATTCTTAGTTTCTGCAGGACTGTCACTTTGAGGAACAATGAAGTGGACTTGAATAGAAAGTTCAAAAAAAATTATGAGGCCTACCACATTTTCAGATTGAAAGGGATCTTCAGGGTCATCGGATTAAATTCTCCACCCAGTGCAGGCATTCCTTTAGTATCATCTTTGACAGATGGTTGTGTAGATTCTCGTTGATCGCTTCCAGTGATCGAGAGCTCATTACTTCAAGAGACAACCTCTTCCACTGTCTGATAGTTTTAATTAATAGAAAACTGCCCTATATGGAACCAGGATCGGTTTCTCTGTGACTTGTCATAGTTAGTGGACTATCGTCTCCAGATCTCTCTTGTATTCCCTCGGTGGGAATTTCTTTAATCCATAGACCATAGAAAGGATATAGATACTACAGATACCACAGTCTTGGCATACTGGTAATTCCCCGATTGATCCAGTGCACATTTATTTAGCAGCTCCTAAGCAGTGGAAAAACAGTTGTGTTTCAGGCTTGGATATCCATAGAAAGGGCCTCAGGGCTATCCACAAAGCAGTCACCTGCCACAAGGAGCAGATGGCAAACACGTGTTCCTGCTCTCACAGTCCCGGGCCGCACGCCAGCTGATGGAGAGGACCCAGTCGTCCAGCATGGAGACCCGGCTGGACGCCATGAAGGAGCTGGCCAAGCTCTCTGCTGACGTGACCTTCGCCACGGAATTCATCAACATGGATGGCATTGTTGTGCTGACGCGGCTGGTGGAAAGTGGAACCAAGCTCTTGTCCCAGTGAGTATTACTGAGGTCTTATTTGGGGCTTTCAGAGGTTTGACACTCTCCACAGGGCATCCAGTTCTCATTTCCATTGAGTCAAATGAGATTTTTGAACACCGTCTGCATACAGAGCAGTGTGCCAAGCACTAGAGCCCACACAGAGGGATATAATTCACTCTTGTGGTCCTATAGTATAGTTGAGCTCTCATAAAATGGTACTGTGCCAAGTGAGTAGTAAAAATAGGGGCCACAGAACTCAGGAAGAGAGAGGTCAGCTCAACACAGACCTGTAAGTTTATGCAAAATGATTGGCCTGATGGAGGTTAGTGAGCAGACTGTCCATTAGGGACGAGAACAGGTGTCTGTCTATTCTTAACCACCCTGTGCCTCCCTCCCTCCTACACGCACACATGCACGCACACACACGCCTTTCTGTTTACCACAGGTTACCCCCTGCCCATTTGCCATCTCCCTGCCACCCATTTTCACAGGGCAGAGGAGATCCAGACACACCACGAACATCTTTACGCTGCTCCAGCGCCAAGATGAATGTGGTGGGGAACTGCCTTGTCATGATCAGCAGGAATAAACATGTTTAGTTTGCCTTCTGAGCCTGTGGAGCCTGAGCTGGCAGAGAGGGAGTCAGAAATCTTTCAGCCAATGGATCAGCTATTGAAATTTTCAGCCAAACCAAACAACTAATCATGGGTATTTGTTTAAGTCCTAGAAAATCTTAAAGCTTTTGCTGTCGTCAGCATTGAGTGCCGCAGTCTCCCAAGAGTACAGGTTGAGAAGGGCCTTTATTTCCTCCTCTTTAAAATGGGGCTAATACCCACCTTGCAGTATTGCCATGAGCATTGTTAATGAGAACGGAACTGAACATGCTTTGTCCATGGGAATGTTGTTAATTATAAAGCACGCTGCAGAAGTAGAACAGATTTAATGTATAAAGAGGAGACAAAGGAGAGAAAACATTGCCATCCTTATTCTCCATCAGTACGATGCTAAGGGCTTTGCATATATTGTCATCTTGCCCCCACCACAATTCTGTGAGATTATCACCATTTTACAGAGGAAGAAATTGAAGTTTGAAAAGACAAAATTTGCACAATTAGCAAACAGCTGAACAGAAATTGAACCCATGTCCAAAGTGTGTACTCTCTGCTGCCTCTAGGCCTAAAAGTAAGTGTGAGATATAAGCTTCCTTAGCTACCCCCACCAAGCGTTGGGGTTTGACAGAGGTCTGCTTGCTCTTGTTCTTGGGAAATAGAGAAGTGATTCTTTTGCCCTGAGATGAGGTGACATGAAGGAAAGACTAATCCCCAGCAGCTCCTACATTTTCAGTGATAGCTGGCTGGACAGAATCTGCTCCACGTCTGCCTAGGTGTTAGTGCAGGCGCTGACTCGGCTGACGGCTCGTGTGGTGCTTACATTGAAATCCATCCCATTGTGGCTGCCTTCACACCTGTTCCCAGTTTTGAATTTTTGTATTATTGTGTGTGTGTTTTGCACATGTCTCAGCTACAGTGAGATGCTGGCATTCACCCTGACTGCCTTCTTAGAGCTCATGGACCATGGCATTGTCTCCTGGGACATGGTTTCCATCACCTTCATTAAGCAGGTGAGGCCTCCAACATTCTGTCTTTCCCTCCTCCCTCAGTCGCCAGTAGTTCTCTAGGCTAAGGTGGAGCTGCAGGCAATACTGCATGCTGGTGAGGGTCAGCTTTCTATCCCTAGGCCAGATTTTCATCCTCGAGCACTGGTCTTCCTGTGGCTCCTGAAAGACTTACTCTGCTGGGCTCTCCCAGCTGAATCTGGCCAAAGTGGCACTGGATCGCCAGTGACCAGCACAACCAGTGCCATCCTCAAGTCCTCTGACCTGCTTCCTGACTCTCCCTTCTCTTTGATGGAAAGTGTTCATTTCATTTGCCTTATATTTACAAGGCTGCCTTCTGTTTGCAAACCTGCCAGGTAGCCTGTTTGAACTGTCAGACTGAGCTCAGTCGGGGGGAGTGAAGACTTCTAGTTTTGCCCTCCTTTCTTCTACTAGGAGGGACAGCATCAGTTCAGAAAACTGAACTAAAACCAATGACTAATATGCCCTATCATTGGCTGGGGACTTTGGGAGCCTCTCCATGCTGGAGCTATTTTGGCAAAAGCGACATGACCATGTATGTGTCAAGGATATTGTAATGAGGATTGGGAAGGATTAGATGACAAGACTGTGAGGTCCTTTCTGCCTCTCCAAGTCTCTGCTGTTCTACGCATGTACAGGGACCCAGTGTGTGTCAGCAGAAGAGTACCTGCAGATAACATGATATCCTCATGTCAGTAAGGTCCTCTGCTTTCTGCAGTTAGCTTTTTCACACCTGGGCCATTATTTTGGAAGCATTAAGCCCTTAGATTTTGAGGAAACACAGTTAACTGGATACTGTAATTTGAAATTGAGTTTTCCATGCCTAGGGAATCCCTGGCACATTGGCCAAGGTAACCATAAACCACCTCGGCACACCTGCCCCAATGTGGGCAGCACGCCTGAGAAGAGAGAGCCTTTGTGGGCTGGCTGCAGAAACCTAAGCCAGCCGGCTCCCATGGGCCCTGTGCGCAAGCAGAGGAAACCTAAGCCCTCCGGCTCCCATGGGCCCTGGGCTCCTAACTTATTTGCCCCTCTCTGGCTTTAGATTGCAGGGTACGTGAGCCAACCCATGGTGGATGTGTCCATCCTTCAGAGGTCTTTGGCCATCCTGGAGAGCATGGTCCTGAACAGCCAGAGTCTGTACCAGAAGATAGCAGAGGAAATCACCGTGGGGCAGCTCATCTCTCACCTCCAGGTGTGAGTAAGGGACCCTGCACCCACCTCCCTTCCCTTGTCTCCTCTCCCCTCAGCCTGCTTCAGTCTTCCAGTACTCCTGCTGCTCTGCTTGTCTTCCAAGCTACTTCCAAGCTTATTCATTCACTCGTCACCTCTTCCACACTATTGCCAGGTTCCTCCCTAATTCAGATCTGATCACATCATGCTCCTGTGTAAAACCCTCTAACTCTCCTTGCCCCTTCGGATACAGTGAAGTTCTTCCCAGTCTTCCGGTACCACCGTGGTGCCAGACAGAATTAGGTGCTTTTCCCCTACGGACCAGACGGTCTCTGTTTGTACCTGTGATAACTCTATTTACATGAAATACTCTATTTTTGTTTTTTTTATCCTCTCCTGAGGACATTTTTCCATTTTTTGTTCAGGTAGAGTGGGAGGGAGAGAGAGGAACAGAGAGAGAGAGAGAGAAACATCGATGTGAAGGGACACATCGAGTGGTTGCCACCCGCACAACCGACCAGGGCCGGGGACAAACTGCAACCGAGGTATATGCCTTTAGCGGGAACCGAACCCGGGTCTCTCAGGACCGCAGGCCGACGCTCTAACCACTGAGCCAAACCGGCCAGGGCGAAATACTCTATTTTTTATGATCTGTCTCCCATTTTAAACGGAGCTCTCTAAGAACAGGGACCAATCGTTTTTGTACCCCCTGCTTTGATTTAAGCAGAAGCTCAATTAGCATTTGTTGAATGAACACTTTAAAAAAGACTTTGGAGACTTAGCCCCAGATTATTATTTGATTACAACCTGTGAGTGATTTTATGAATCATTTCTAAGTCATCTTGTTCGTCACTCTTCTAACCTCGTCTGCCTTCTCTCTCCATTGCACAGCTCCAACCAGGAAATTCAGACCTACGCCATTGCCCTGATTAACGCACTTTTTCTGAAGGCTCCTGAGGACAAGCGACAGGTCTGTGGCTGCCTTTCAAAGCTTTTCATCTGGGCTCTTCCAGGAGAATTCTCACCCGCCCACCCTTTGCTGTGCAGAGATAGAAGCCCAGCCATTTTCCCAAGTCCTTCCCCCGCCCTCTGGTCAGAGCCTATCAGAGCAGCTTTGCTAAGGAAGACGCAGGGGAGAACTAGCAGGGAAACCAGCTGGGGTCTTAAGTCAGAGCAAGGGCCTGCGAACTTGATCCTCTAAACTTTAGGGCCAGAGTGTAAATATTGTTTGCTTTGTGGGCCATATCGTCTGTGTGACAACTGTTCACCCTTGCCGTTGTCACCGAGAGCAACCTGGGACAGTAGGCACATGAATGACTGTGGCCATCTCCAATAAGACCTATTTACACAAACAGGTGACAAACCTAATTTGGCCTGAGTTTGCCTACCCCTAGGTTAGAGGATCAAGAAGGACATCACTGTTTGAGTCCAAGGAAACCGAGACAAATGAGAGCCTTACTTAAGGAGGCAGGAGTGCAGGGACTTGGCACGAAGTTTCATGTGTAAAGATCCTCTGATCCAGGTTCTAAACTTCCTCCTTCCCCTGTGAATTAGCTGGGTGGTGTTATGCACATGGTTCTACTTCTCTGAACCCCAGTTTCCTCACCTGGAACATGGGAGCTACCACACCGGCCCCATTTACTTCACAGGGATATCCTGAGGCAAACCAGACCCTGTTCTACAAGTGAGGACTCCAGGAATCAGCCAAGCAGGGGAATAAGCACTGACCTAAGAGTCCAGGGCCTCGAGACCGAGGACTGTCCCTGCCGCTGGCTGGACACGTGCTTTAACCTCTTCGGGTCTCAGCTTCTCTTCCTGTCAAATGACAGGGCCGGTTTAAAGGATCACTAAGGGTCCTTCCAACACACTTTCTAGATTTCTCTGGTAAAAGCCCAAGTGGTGTGCAAAAGAAAGACTTTTTTTAGTTGTCTGTCAGTACCCTGGGCTCAGGAAGTTGATATTCATGTGGAATCAGGTACAAGCTCCTGGTGGATTCTAGTGGGAGGACCAGGAATGTCTGTGGTTCTGTCTGTCATGTCTCTTTGGATGGCTTTGCTCCGTTAATCTCTTCCTTCCTGGTCCTGTTTTGAATGTAAACTGAAAGCTCATTCTTCCATCTGCTTCTCTCTGTGCTTTTTGCTTTCTGCCGGCAGGACAAGCACCTTAACCCTCTAGACCTGCCTGTCACTGTAAGTAGCACTGCTGTGTGGAAGGGGCCCCGCTCTCATCCAGGTGGGGAGGGCACAGCTGGGCAAGAACCTCATCTCTGATCTGGACGCGCAGGGAACTCCAGGACCCAGGAAAAGGTTGTGTGCTGTGAACCTCACTTGTCAGGACACTCGAGGGCATCCTGCAGATTAGTCACATACAGGATTAAAGCGGTGCCTGTCTCAGGGAATGTGGCCCAGTCTTTCCTTTGTAACTTGCCTCCATGTGGGTCTCTGGTTCAGCCAGGAAAGATCAGATTCAGAAATAGCCTGTGGCTTTCATCTAGATGACACTGTGACGCATCATCTCCCAACTTGGAATGGCAAAGTGTAAAGGTAAATGCACGCCTTTTTGGATGCTTACTAGACCATGGGCATTGAAAAGGCTTAGATAGTTGACAAGAGAGAATTTGGTTGCTTCTTGCTTGTTAGAGGGAGCTTAGAGAGGTCAGCTCTCCAAGGATCTGAAAGAGGATGAGTGCTTCCCCCCGCCAGCCCTGCAGAGGAGCTTTTGGTCTGAGGCCTTTATATTCTAGCAGTAGACCACTGTCTGTGACCCACTTTGTTAGTTGTCCACACTGAGATTTCATCTCAGGTTGACCTCCTACAGCTACCAAGGAAGTTTCTAGGCCGCCTTCCGCCTCCAGTCAGTGTGTGCTCAGGGCATGCAAAGTAAAACCCAGTGTTCCTGGCAGCATCGCCATTTGGAATGTGGCCAGAGACCCAGAGGTGCGGGAGAAGGGCCTTTCAGCTCCGAGGCCACTGCTCCCTGGGAGAGAGGTGTGGCAGTCCCCTCGGGCGATGGGCAGAATTCTCCGTAAAATTAAATTAAGGCAGCGGTTTAGAAAGTGAAGTCATACTAATTAACATTATAAGAAGTGATGGCTGACATTGGAAGGCAGACAGAAGAATTATGAAAAGCTGTCAGAGAAATTAAAAGCATGATAATCTGGGACCATTTTGTTTAGGGGAAATAGCTTCACATTTCAATAGCTCCTTTAGGGTATCATAGTGTCACAACCCAGGAAAATAAATGATGGTCTCTTTGATGAAGCCAAGTCCTTGGCAGTGATTAAAGTATAATCGTTGCAGTCTCTTCAGAAATAAAGACGTGTATATAATGTCTTTTAGAAGATTTGCATAAGAATGGTCAAAGGAATGGTTCTGAGAGGACCCTGACAGCTTCCCTTGCTCCCTGGAAGATTCACTTAGCGAGGACACTTCCCTGAGTGTGCTAAATAAAGTGTTCCTGTTAAAACTGGAACCAAATATGATTTAAAGATTGAAAAATTACCCCAAAGTACCCAACGTGTTGTCTACACCTGTCAGAAAGTGAACTCTGTTTCAGGTCCACGCCCAGCTCTCGCTGCCAGGCTTGGGGGAAGGGGGTGGGGGGGTGGGGGCTGCAGGAGGCGCTGCCACAGCCCTTCCCTGGGTCTGGAGTCCCTTCTGGCCTGGGCAGGGGTGTCAGCCTGGGCAGAGTGAACAGTGCGTGCGGCTTGGGGGCCATCACGCTGCTCTGTGCTCCGTGTGCATTGTCCATCGCCCAGCGTCCTCGTAACACCGTGTCTTGTCCCGAAGCGGTCCTCGTCCCCCTTGAAGATGATAAAGTCGATTGTGCCACTGGGAAGGGAAACCCTATTTGAGTTCATTTGTGCTCACAAAGGAAAATGTGAGGGAACTGGTTAGAGTAGAAGGTATATTTGGTGGATCTGGGATTTTTTTCTATTTGCCCACTTTTTGTTGGAAAGGAATGAAAATGTAAAGGAAAAAGGCCCAGAGCTCTGCTGTCACCTTTCTCTTGGCAGCTGTCACAGCCGTGTGCCTGCCACCTGGCCTTATGTTTGCTTATTTTTCTCAACAGGACATGGCCAATGCATTCGCACAGAAGCACCTTCGATCCATAATCCTAAATGTAAGTTTCCGGATACGGCTAGTTTGTTACTCTTGTTTCGTTACTATTAATAACAATTCTTAGTACTATTGTAGTTGTATTGTTATCATTGAAATTACTATTGAGCGGGGAGGGCACGCAGAGGAAACTTACCAAATGGTACTAAACACTTCTTAAGGTGAGAAGCTTTTTTTTTTTAAATAATTTTCTGTAGGCACAGTTGTCTCTAGGAGGCTGGCCGGCCCACCGGGAATTGCAGAGCCTCAAAGGAGGAACTAAAGCCAGCTATACTGTTTGTTGCCCTACAAATCCAAAAATTTTTACCTGGAGGGAATGTGTTAAAATAGGCACAAAAAGAAAAAAGTGATTCTAATTTGAACTAACACTGGTCATAAACCTGAGTGTGTGGGGCACCAGCAGAGATGAATAAGAGAGTGTTTGCTCTCGAAAAACTTCCCTGGTCCGGGAGGAAAGACGAGTGGTCCGCAGAGATCCGTGGTCCGGGAGGTTTGAGGGGGGCAGTCCTGCGTTGAAGGAGAGGTGTCAGGAAGCCTTTAGAGCAGGGGTAGGGAACCTTTTTCCTGCTAAGGGCCCTTTGGATATTTACAGCATCACTCATGGGCCATACAAAATTATGAACTTAAAAATTAGCCTGCTATATTTGGTCAGACATTTAATTAACTCACCCCTAATGATGGCTGGAACTGCTTCTGTTTAGTGAGGCATGTGATAAGAGCTGGTATTGATTTCACGGGCCTTATGCGGCCCGTGGGCTGGACATTCCCCACCCCTGCTTTAGAGGAATGTCTTCAGGTGAGGCTGAGGACGAGTAAGCAGACCAAGAAGAAAAAGAGTGGGGATAGGGGATGGAGCCTAGGTGGAGGGTGTGACGGGCAGAGGGTGAAGCAAGGAGCAGATCTGTGGTGAGACTGCAGAGGTAGCAAAGACCAGATCAAGTAGGGTCTTAGTCTGTTTCCCAGGGGCAGTGGGGAGGGTTTAATCAGGATCATGAAATAACCAGACTGGCATTTCAGAAAGATCACACTCCAAGGTCTGCATGTTCCCGAGGGGGAATGAGGGAGGAAAGTAGAGTAGGAATTGGTGGGGAGAGGGAGGCGTCTGGAAAGGGGTCTAATTCCTTGTTGCCAGGGTGGTGAAGTGGGGTGGGAGGTGGGGACGGTGGGAGCTGGGAAAGAGCCAAGGATCTAGGTTAAAAGGGGGTCGTTTTGTCAGTTGTTAAAAACAAGGGAGAACTGAGAGACCGCAGTGAAGGGAATAACATGAGAAATTCGGAGTCAAGTGTGAAAGCCTTAATGATTCTGAACGTGAGCTTTGGAGTCACCAGCCCCCCTCTGCATTAACCAATCTTTGATCTTGAGCAGTTCACTTAACTTCTGTGGGTTTCGATGTGCTCCTCTGGATGTGAAGAGTAAATGAGCTAATATATATACAGTGCTTAGCAGGGTGCCTGGCGCATGGTGAGCGCCGTGCTCATATTGGCAGATTTTGTGAACAAGATACAAAGAATTCCGAAAGTAAAACACAAGCTCCGGGTATTTGTGAAGTCCAGTGACCAGCTGGTGGAAACACGCAGAGCCTGTCGGACTTCACCTCGCAGAACTAGCTCCTGCCTACTGGTCATTTCCCTGGTCACAGCCCCATGGCCAGCCTGGCAGGAGGGACCCGAGCAAATGCTCAAGCACTCTGCCTACAAGTGACGGAGAACACACAGGTGCCCACGCATTCTCGGCCACGTTCCTGAGCAGCTGTCCTACGTGCCATTCTCTGTGTGGGGGAGTGGACATGCCCTTCTGAGGGGAACATAATGAATAGTAATGAATTTTCAGGCTCTTTATTTACTTAAATGGGGTTATGACAAGCTGAGATTCCACTACAGAAGACAGTCCAGTGTTCGGACTCAGGTCTTAAGCTAGGAAATGGTTATGCATGCTCACTTCAGTCCAGGAGTTTAACTGAGTCTGACAGTCAAATAAGACATCAGGTAAACCTCTGAGACTACAACTCACCCAACTAGAGCTGTATTTCTTTAAGCCATTGATGGCGAGAGTAATTACCTTCCCACTATGATGTGTCTATAAGTTTGAGAAAGGGGGATTAAAGTGAATGAAAACCAACATTTCATTCACTTGAACCTCTCTTTAAAGTGGTTTCCTGAATTCTGGAGAGGTGAGGAGGAAGGACTAGGGATAGACAGGTGGGGAGAAATCGAAGTGGCAGAGGGGGGAACATTGAGAAGAAAGAGGCTCCGAGTGGGGCAAAGAAGAGGTGTGGGGGGCACAGCAGAGCAGCGGCAGGGGAAGGAGCCTGGGCAGTGAGTCGGGGAGGGAGGAAAGGGAAGCTCGGGGAGGAGAGAGCAGAGACTGGAGAGTAAGCTTGGGGAGATGGAGACAGACACTGAGACGAGCATAGAGGAGGGATCTCTCACTGGAGAGGGTTCAGAGGGAGGGGCGAGGGCATCAGCACCCGCGAGCAAGAGCGGAGCAGCCTGTCCCGCAGAAGTGTCTGCAGCTGTGGCAGTGCTGTCCCAACAGGAAGCCACGAGCCACGTGTGGATGTTGAGCACTTGAAATGCACCTAGTCTGACTAGGGAACTTAATTTGTCATTTTGAAAATTTTTGTTGAAATTGAAATACCCACCTGTGGCTTGTGGCTTCTGTTTGGGCTTTGCAGAGCCAGAGAAAGAAAGAAACAGAAAGGAAAAGCACTCTGGCGTCTCATGGTGGGGGAGACGAGGCCTAGAGCAGCACCGTCCAGTGGAAATACAATAGGAACCACTTATTTATTAACGTTCTAGTAGCAACGTTAAAAAAGGAATAGAGGAAATTAATTTCAATAACATTGAACCCAGTATATCTAAAATACTATGATTTCAACATGTAATCAGTGGAGAAAATCATTCATCTGGAGGCCTTTTTCACTCCGCGCGTCTTGGTTTGCACCAGCCACATTTCCATGCTGAACCGCCACGCGTGGCTAGTGGCACCGAGAGTGGACTGCGCAGGTCTGACGAGCTCGAGCCGAGCAGGCCCAGAGAAGGCCAATCTGAAGTTAGAGGGAGCTCCTAAAAGATGCCGATCTAGACTTAGAAGCTCTGGGGTGGAGCTGTCTGGTAGGATTTTCTGTGAGAATGGAAATGTCCCTTGTCTGCCCTACCACTGGGTGGCAGCCACTACCCCAGGTGCCTGGTGAGCTTAGAATTGGCTAGTGCTACTGAGGACCTGAATTTTCAACGTAAATTAACTGTAAGTGACTTAAATGCAAATAGCTGCATATGACCCGGGGCTTCCATATTGCACAGCACAGGCCTCACACAGCTTGATTACATGTGAGAATACAGAGGACACAGGGGGCTTGTGTGGGACACTGGGCAAGAGTCTCAATTGGCCCTGGTCGGTTTGGCTCAGTGGTTAGAGCACCGCCCCGCAGACCAGAGAGTCCTGGGTTCGATTCCAGCCAAGAGCACATACCTCGGTTGTGGTTTGTCCCTGGGCCCACTTGGGGTTGTGCGGGTGGCAACCAATCGATGTCTCTCTCACATTGATGTTTCTCTCTCTTCCTCCCTCTCTCCCTCCCACTCTATCTGAAGGTAAATGTAAGGATATCCTCGGGTGAGGATGAAAAAAAGTCTCATTTGACTGACAAAAAAACCAAGAGTGACAGGATTCAAGATGGTAGTGTGCTCTGGCCGGTTTGGCTCAGCAGTTAGAGGGTCAGATGGTGCACCAAGGGTCGCCGTTTTGATTCCTGGTCAAGGGCACATACTTGTGTTGCAGGTGTGATCCCTGGCCCCGGTTGGGGTCATGCGGCAGGCAACTAATCAATGTGTCTCTCGCATCCATGTTTCCCTCCCTCCCTCCCTTCTCTATCTAAAAAAAAAAAAACAATGGAAAAATATCCTCAGCTGAGGAGTAACAAAAATAAATAAATAAAAAGTCTGGTAGTGAGACAAAGAAGAGGAGCGAGAGATACAGGGAAAGAGCAGGCTCTGGGGAGCGTGAGAACAGGACAGTTTGAGACGAGAATGTAACCAAGCACCGCGCAGCCCCGGGGACAGAGGGAGATGGAGCGCACAGGAAGAAGACAGACCGAGCGTCAAAATAGGAGAGGGGTGGGCATCAGAGGGACAAACAGAGGAAGTGATGGGGGGCGTGGACAGTTAGAGGAGGGAGAGGGACATGCCCCCTGCCTTTGCTTTCCCAGCATGTGATCCGAGGGAACCGCCCAATCAAGACCGAGATGGCCCATCAGCTATATGTGCTGCAAGTCCTGACCTTTAACCTTCTGGAAGAAAGGATGATGACCAAGATGGACCCCAATGACCAGGTGGGTGCAAAGTGAGGCAGAACTTTCCTGGCTGAAGCTGTGTGCTGTTTGATGTGCGTTCCACCCTCAGGCTGTGTATGACACCTGCTGTGTGCCAGGGACTTGCTCAGGTTGTCTGCACAGACGGTTCGTGTCTGCTCTGAGACATCTAGCTGTGTGGCTCCCGTGACCTCTTCCTGCTGGTGACCCTCTGGGTCACCCATCTCTGTCATCCATCAGGGCCACTGTTCTGCCCGAGCCCCACCCACTCTTTCTTGTCCTGGCTTCCCTTGGTTAGCTGATTCACCTGCTGACTGACTGTTTCACCTCTCAGGCTCAAAGAGACATTATATTTGAACTGAGGAGGATTGCATTTGACGCAGAGTCTGACCCGAGCAGTGTCCCTGGGAGTGGGACTGAAAAACGCAAAGCCATGTATACCAAGGACTACAAAATGCTGGGATTCACTGTGAGTTTCCCAAAGCAGGACCTGGCAGGCCTTCTGCCCTGACAGGAAGTCAGAGGACCCATCCAGTGGAGCCCTGGGCGCCCCTCCTTCATGGTGGTGGCCCTGGAATAAATGTCACTAAGAAGCTGGTGGGCCGTAACGCTCGGCTTGCCTCTGCGATGGCAGGCTCACGAGTTTACGTGCAGCTTGGCCCCGTGAAGCAAAGCCATCTGCAGGCAGGCCCAGGAGCGCAGCTAGCTGGGTGGAGAGGGGACCTGTCGCCACGGCGGCGAGGCTCTTTGGAAAGCTGGCGTGGATATCTTGTGATAGGATACAGCTTGCGGATGGAGTTAATTCAATTAAATGTTTATGCTGCATGCTAGGGATACTGGGGCGGGGGGCACAGCCCGTGGTCAAGGTTCACAGTCTCGTAGTAGCGCTGGGCGTGTGAGAGCAGCGCTGGACGTAGATACGCGGTGCTGGCACTCAGACAAGGGCAGCGGCTTCCCCTCGGGACACACAGTGAGACTACCGAGTCTCAGGTCGGGTTTCTTTCTCCCTCCAGAACCATATCAACCCCGCAATGGACTTTACGCAGACTCCTCCTGGAATGCTGGCCTTGGACAACATGCTGTACTTGGCTAAAGTCCATCAGGACACCTACATCCGGGTAAAGGCTGGAGGCCAGCTTTCTCAGTCCTGGTGCCACCTCTCTGCGCCCCCCCCTCACCTCGCCTCTCCCCCCACAGATCGTCCTGGAGAACAGCAGCCGCGAAGACAAACACGAATGCCCCTTTGGCCGGAGTGCCATCGAGCTTACCAAAATGCTCTGTGAAATCCTCCAGGTTGGGGAACTACGTAAGTCCGTGCAGCCGCCTTGCTCCCTGCGGCCAGTCTTCGTAATCGGGAACCGGGGGGCGGGGGTTATAAAGTTAGGTGTTATTGGGCCTGGGCAACCTGAGGCACCGAGTGAGCTGTGATCCCTCATCCTTGTTAATGGGAGTCTCAGGTATTGCTTTGTTCAAGACAGCAGTTTGACATATCTGAGAGGCACGCCACCCACTCACTCCCGTGAGCAAGGACTAGCTGCGTCTGTCACGGGGTCATGGCAGACCAAGAGAAAGTGCCCTGGAGAAGAAGGCCCAGGGGTGGGAACAGCCCACCCACTCCTCATTAGCCCTGGTCCTCGCTGTGGTTTGTTCTCGGGACTTTGCGCAGAACCCAGCGTTTCTGGACGTGGGCACCGAGCGCATCCCTTCCCTGCCTCTTTTCTCCCACAGCGAACGAAGGGCGCAACGACTACCACCCGATGTTCTTCACCCACGACCGTGCCTTTGAAGAGCTCTTCGGCATCTGCATCCAGCTGCTGAACAAGACCTGGAAGGAAATGAGGGCAACGGCGGAGGACTTCAACAAGGTCCGTGTCGCAGGGCTCTGAAGCCCATGAGCGAGACCGTCCCTGACAGCCTGTGGCAGCTGGCCAGAGCCCGAAATCCCTGAGCTGGGAAGCCAGCTTGGTCTGCAGCGCTGTCGCAGGCCGAGGCACTGGAGAGCCTCAGTCCCCTCTGGCTGCGCGTCCTCTGCCACCTTGAGCAAGTGTCTTCCCCTTGGTGCCTGGGCCCCTCGTTTGCCCACGGAGCCAGTACTTAGTCTCCTGCCTTCCGTAGGAGCCAGGAGAGTGAGCACAGCAATGACAGCTGTGGTTTACTGAGCACGTACTATGTGCAGGCACGGTGTCCTTTTCGTGCACTGGAAGCGTCAGGGTGAGGTCAGCGTGGATTGCATGACACGCAGGTCATGGTGCCTCCTCAGAAGTCATTCTTCCATGCTTTCTGAGTACCCACTCTGGGGCACACGAGGCCCTCAAAAGCTGGTGATCCAGGACTTGAGTGTTTTGAAGCTGCTCATCTCATTTAAGAAATTTGGACAGTATAAAGAAGAAAGTTTTCTATAATGCTGCCACCCAGCGACTATCATTTTTATGTGTGTCACTGTGGTCCTTTTTTCCTATACATTTTTTCTTCACTGGTGGAGAGCTGACCAGATGTGCAGTGTGATATTGTTTTTCCTCTAACTGTAGTTTGGGGGAAAGTAACATTTTTTGAACACACCAGAGTGTGCCAGGCACCCTGGCTCCCTAAAGCATCTCAGTCCTTCAGGCACGTATCAGAAGATGTCTTTCTCTCCCTTTGAGAAGTAGATGGAGGCCTGAGGGTGTTAAGTGACTTGTTCAAGGAACAGATTAAGGGACAGAGTCATGATCTGAACCCATTTCTCTCTGACTCCAACAACCTATGCTCATTCCACACCATTGACTAATTGAAATTTTTGAGAAATAAAGCATTTGTCACCATCAGTCATTTGTCCTAAACAACCATCCGAGAAGGTGTGCCTTAGCATGTCAGTGCTCAGTTCCCCCAGCCTGCTGTGCTCGGGACCGCCAGTGAGGGCCAGCCTCGGGGCCAGAGGCGGCCTGTCTGCATCAAGCAGGGGCGAAGTGGCTGCCTTCTTCCTTTCCCCGCAGGTTATGCAGGTCGTCCGAGAACAGATCACGCGTGCTCTGCCCTCTAAACCCAACTCTTTGGATCAGTTCAAGAGCAAATTGCGCAGCCTGAGCTACTCTGAGATTCTGCGGCTGCGCCAGTCCGAGAGGATGAGCCAGGATGACTTCCAGTCCCCACCAATTGTGTAAGTGCCATCCGGAGGGGCAGGCAGGGGAGGCAGCCCCAGCTCTGCCTTCCTTCCAGAGCTTCGCTGTGACCTCCTTACCCCGGTGCATGCCCACCCCAGGGAGCTGCGGGAGAAGATCCAGCCGGAGATCCTTGAGCTGATCAAGCAGCAGCGCCTGAACCGGCTCTGTGAGGGCAGCAGCTTCCGGAAGATTGGGAATCGCCGAAGGCAAGGTGACGGGGGCCTGGGGCACTGGGCTGCCTGGGTGGACCCTGCAGGCAGCAGGCAGGGAACGAGGCTACCTTTGGGTGCCCAGGCCTTTCCCAGAACTGCCCTTGCTCACCTGCTTGTCTTCCCTTGGGTTCTAGAACGTTTCTGGTACTGCCGCTTGGCCCTGAACCACAAGGTCCTGCACTATGGTGACCTGGACGACAACCCTCAAGGGGAGGTGACATTTGAATCCCTCCAGGAGAAAAGTAGGTTCATTTCTCTGTTGCTGTATCCTGGTAGCTGGACTTGACGTCAAGACAGTTCTAGCCCTGGCTGTTTCAAACTGATCATCTGGTCTTGGCCAGTCATCTCTGGACCCGGTTCCTCATTGTCCAAGGTCATCTCTCTCTGGCCTGCCTCACAGGGCTGTTTGGAGAACTCAAGAGATCACGGGGGCATGGGAATGGGTTTTGCAGATTGTAAAGAGTGATACAAAACGAAGTTGGAACGTGGTAGATAAGAGCAGACTGCCTGGATTCAGATCCCGCCTTTGCTACTGACTGATTAATCCTGATTAATTCTAATCAGCTGGGAGTTCATTCTCCCCTCAGCCTTGGTTTCTTCTGTCAAAATAACAGCCACATCACCCTCCTAAGCGGACTGGATAAGTAGTGTATGTAAAGCACTTAGAACCAGTCGCAGGCAGGTGACAAGTGAGACTGTCAGCTGCTGGCACTGCTGTTTGCTGTGGTGGCGTTGTCATCGCCATTGCTGTGACGTGAAAGTGATGAGTGTCGGGGAGATAATCCAGAACTCTGAGCTGACCCCATCAGATCTGACACAGCCCAGCAGACTATGGTCCGTGGGAAGTGACCACGGAGGAGGGGACAATACCAGCCACACTCCCTGGACCGATAGAGCCCTTTGAGTCTGGGGCCTGGGGCTTCCCTTTGAGCACCGAAGCAAGGACCAACTTGCAGCATGAAGCTCCCAGAGACTAATTCCTGTCATTTCTCAGTTCCTGTTGCAGACATTAAGGCCATTGTCACCGGGAAAGACTGTCCCCACATGAAAGAGAAGAGCGCTCTGAAACAGAACAAGGTGAGTGGGGAGCCATCGCTGTCACGGTGAGTCCTGGGTGGTCGGTGGTGGTGGCTGGGGGCGCATGCTCTCTCGCCCTCATCCTGTCTCTCTCTAAGTGACTCCTGAATGTTTTAGTAAGAACATTTTGAACATACAGATAAACAGACAGAACCCCAGGTGTGCCTCCCCAGCCTCAGCAGCCAAGCAGAGTCTGCAGGTCTTCCGCCCGCTCCCTTGTTACTTTGAAGAAAACCCCAAGTGTTACATCACTTCATCTATAAACAGTTAGAATATATCTCTGGATTAGGAGGACTCCTTTAACATGATCACGATAGCATCATCACACCTAAAAATAAAAAGTTTTAATTCAATGTCAACTATTCCACTGATGATTGAATTTCCACTAATTGTGTTATAAATATCATAATTGCTCTGTGTAAAAATACGTGTTTGCTTGTATGCACACGTGTACACACAAACATGCGTCCCCATTTTGATTGCTAAGTCGCATCCAGAGAGGGGCTACACTTTGTGCTTAGTCTTGTAAGCGTCTTAGTTCATAAGTTCCCCTGCCAGCTTTTTTTTCTCTTTGCAGTTTATTAGTTGAAGAAACCAGGTTGCTTGTTTGGTCATTTCCCAGAGTCTGAAATTTGCTGACTGTCTCCCCACGGTGCAGTTTAACTTGCTCCTCTGTCCCAGATCTGTAAATGGGGAGCAGGATCTAGAGTCTTGATCCAGTTCAGGTTCAACTTTTTTTTTATAAGACTGCTTCCTAGACGGTCTTACGTTCTATCAAGAGACACATACTGTGTGGCCATCTCTCCTTCTGTGATGTCAGCACCCTGGATGCCCACTGCCTCCTTCCACTAGTAAATTAAGGCTCGCTAACGAGTGGTATTCTAATGCAGCCTGTCCTGTTCGCTTAGTAGCTGGACTGCTTCTCCAAAGAGGAACTTGCTGTTCATACGGTTGGTTCCCCGTGGCACAGTGTATGAGAAAGGAAGGTGAAGGCTCGATTCTTTCCTGTTGTGACCTGCTTTTAAAACACAGTTCCCTCATGTCATCCGACAGTGACAGTTTTGTTTTGTTTTTCGGTATTATGATGGACTCAGGGGCTTAAGCAAATTGTATTTGTTTCAACCCCTCACAGTTGTGTTGTTGATACTCACACTGTCCCATCTTAGGCCACAATTTGTTTTCATTGTTGTGGTTTTAAACTGTTAAGACCTTTCAGTTTAATTAGCAAGATACATATTTAAGGTAATACACAGTCATGGACTCTGACATCCTGAAGCTTCTGAGTATTGAGTAATAACTTTTCTCCAATCTTGAAAGTTATCTCCACCTCTCCTAGGCGTGATTTGGGTGGGGAGTGGGTGAATGAATGTTGATCAGTTGACCTCTCTCATGCACATGCCCTGGGGCTTTGATGGCCTCACATCTGAATCAGCACAATTGGTGACGGTGCCAACTTGCTAGGACTCCAGCCAAGATCTTGGAGTGCAGAGCCCAGGTAGGCCAGTCCATTGCTCCAACTAACTGAAACCTTTCCCCTCCAGGAGGTGTTGGAATTGGCTTTCTCCATCTTGTATGACCCCGATGAGACCTTGAACTTCATCGCACCTAATAAGTATGAGGTGAGCAGCCGTGGCACTGCCCGGCATCGTTGGGCCCGCTGTGGTTCTTCAGCTGGAGGGGAGGCGTGGGCAGGAGTGTGCTGTCGCCCTGAGGGCAGGAGGCCGCAGCTGTCGTGGAAGCTGTTTGACCCTGAGGATCAGCCACCGAGGGCCCTTTCCCCTGAGCTGGGCCCTCAGGTCACTCTCTAGCAGTAGCTGTAGGCCGTCATTCGCAGGACAGGGCCACCTAGGGATAACTTTTTGCCTCTTTTCAGTTTCTGTGTGGCCACCTACCCAGTGAACCTGACAGATCCCCCCTCAGTAGGCCGGGCCTGGGCTTTGAAGCCAGATGGCTCTGGCCCTACTGACGTGGCTGTTTCATCTGCAGCCCTGGAAGACACCAGGTGTTACTGAGTTACTACGATTGAGACCACAGTGTCTGGTGAGCTCTGAGCCATCAGAGGAAACCAGAGGTGGGGCTTCTGGAGGAAGGGACACTAAGGCAGGGCCTGAGCTGCCAGCGGAGATGTGGGGAGGAAGTGAAGAAGTAGCTGAGTGGGGTGTGGGGAGCGGGCGAGAAAGGCATGGAAGATGGAACAGAAAGGGCTAGGGAGGCAGGGCTGAGGATTCTGTTATTCCCTCTTAGTGTGAGCCCCTCGAGTTCAGTTTCCCTAGTGCTTCACTTGAACATTTATTGACTGGGTGATTTTTTGTTTTTGTTTGTTTTTAGCTTACTTTTCTTGAAATAAAATTGAGGTCCCAGTGTTGGTTTCTTTTGTGTTCTGCTTTTTTCCACCTGATTTGTGTTCTCCCCTCCCCATTACGTTTTTCAGGGGCAATTTCAGGTACTTGATGCCCCAGTTCTCAGGTCTGGTTTTGCTGTATTCTTTAACTGCATTTTTAAAAATCATAAACTATTACCTAGGGAGTTTCAGTGTCAATCCTTTATAAAAACCAAAAGGTCTTTCGAGAAAGTGAGTGATCAGCTCCCAGCTTACCTTTGCTCTTATCCCAAGTCAGTTTTGCGTATGCTGAGACCCACCTGACCAGAGTGAGTCCTACAGGAGGGGCCTTGGCAGGACTGCCTGCCGACCAGGGGCCACTGTGTGATGATTTGAAACTTGCTTCCCCCAGTACTGCATCTGGATTGATGGCCTCAGCGCCCTTCTGGGGAAGGACATGTCCAGCGAGCTGACCAAGAGTGACCTGGACACCCTGCTGAGCATGGAGATGAAGCTGCGGCTCCTGGACCTGGAGAACATCCAGATTCCGGAGGCCCCGCCACCAGTGCCCAAGGAGCCCAGCAGCTACGACTTTGTCTATCACTACGGCTGAGCCAGAGCCAGAGACGACGGCACCCAGGAAGGGATTTGGGGCCCAGGAGAAACACTCACAGTCTGGTGCCTTGTCTTTTGCTTGTACAGAATTTGTAGTGACTATTGTGGCCAGTAAATGCTAGCCATTCCTCCGCCCACCTCAGGCTACCCAGAGCTTCCTCTCGGTCCCCGCCACTATGAGTCATGGAGGCAGGTGCTGTGCCCTCCCCATCACTGTGGAGCCCGGCTTCAGGCCATGAGGATGAGCAGCAGATGCCCTTGCCGGTCGGGCCGAGAAACTGCTTCTGGAGCTGGATTTAAAAACAGCCACTCACCTTTTCTTCTGAGCCTGCCTTCCGGTGGTCAGCTGGCTCCCCACATGGGCAAGAGCTGGCCCAGCAAAGGCGGCCTGCAGGGGACAGACGTGCTGGGCACGGTGAGAGCCTTGGAGAGACGGCCTCTGGCGGCCCGGCCTGGGTCAGATACAAGCAGAGGCTTTGCCCTCGCTTTGTCGTCGTCCTGAGGGCTCGCTCTGGCCGCACACAGGGCCAGCGTGCTGCCGCTGAGGTTTGGCCCTGACATCTCCGGCCTCCGGAGCCACAGTTGTCTGGGCAGATGGAAATTTCTCCCTGCAATCTCTCAGTCTCATCCTGGCAAGTCAGAGATCTGAAGGCTGAGTCCCACCCTCTTAGTCTCAAGGAACTCTGCAGGGAGAGCCCAGATGAGCCTGGGCCTAGACTGTGGTGAGGTCACTAGATCCCCCTCGCCTCCCTTAGACCTTTCCCTTCTTCCGGGAGAGACCTCCCACAGCCTGACGTACAGCCCCTCCAGCTGGCTTTCCCTTGGCCTTCCAGACCTCAGGAAGTTTGCCTTCCTTTCCTCCCCATCCAGTGCTGTGGTTCCTGACATGGGCCATGATTTCAGGGAGCTGGCCGAGGCCACAGCTGTGCCAACAGCCTCCCTGGTGCTGCCGCACTCGTAAACCACACGCACAGCCTCTTTCCTTGGAGATACGTCAACATGGTGGCATTCAATTTTGGTAGCCGGGCATGGTAGGTACTACCCAATGAAGAGTGTACTATATATTTTCTTTACTATAGGCCATACTTATACAGACGTGTATATATATTTATATAAGATCTACCTATCCTAGGATGGAATGTTTGAGGGAAAATAAAATTGGAGGCAAAAAAATTAAAAACATACTTCCAGCTGTGAGCCAAGATTGTAACCTGAGAGCAGCCAGGAGCTTCCTGTCCGTAACATGTTTTCAATAAATACTCTTTCATGTACAAACCGTGGTTGCTACTTCCTGCTAACAGCTCTTTCTCTGTTACTGGCTTCCTGCCCAAGGGAACTTTCACCTTGACAAGCCTTCATTTCATTGGGAAACTTGGGAGAGCTCAAGCTGGAGTCCTCAGCCACCTTCCAAGAACTCCTTTCTCCTCTTCAACCACCCTGCCTCCACCACACACGCACCTGCTGGGTAAAGATGCTCACAGATTGTCACATCAGGACAAAGTGTTCTCTGCTCAGGCCTGCTGGGTACATCAGGGAAAGACATACTGTACACCCGTGAGCATGTCCTCTGTTCTTCCTGCCAGGGAACAGCTGAGTACTTGTACGTTACAAAGCAGACGTGTTCTTCACCCTGTGTGTCACCATGCCTAGTGCCCAGCCTTCCAGCTGGGGCTTTAGGCTGTTGCTCCAAACCTCGGCCTTGGTGGCTGGGAGGCGTGCATGAGGGCCACCTTGCCTCAGAGAGAAGGGCAAGGACCAGCTCTGAACAGGCATGGGGAGCGCATGCAGCGCAGGCCTTGAGGCCCGAACAAAGCCGAGACCTTGGGCTGCCAGGGGTGCCATTGTGAGTGATTGTTAAGTGCAGAATGAACTAATAATGCCCGAAATGCCAGCTGCTGGTGGTGGGGGCAGCAGTGGTTTGCAAAATAAACTGCTCACGCTCTGGCCTTGAACCCTCTGTTCAGAGCAGCCAGGGAACCCAGCTGAATCACTTGCAAGGATCCTTGTTTGCAGTCAGTCCTAGAGCCAGAGAGCCCGGGAGGGGGTTGGCTGAGAGTGACAAAGAACCCCAGAGTGGGCCACAGTCTGCAACCCCCGCCTGCCCTGGCCTCCGAATGGATCTCCCTGTCTGCTGGCTCTGCCACTTTCAATCCACCCTGCAAGATGAATAATATCTCAACTCCCTAGCTGGCATTTTGGGGACCACTGCATCCTGTCCCTTGGCTACTTACAACCACAGTTTTTCTTCTCTCCTTTCCTCTCTCTCCCCTTCCTCGACCTATTGAAATGGAAATCATTCTTATAAAGTTTCAGGCACAAGAAAATGGTCCACAAATGTTTATTATTTACTGCCTTCCATGGGTCTTCTAAATCTTAAAATGTAATAGCACTCCGCAGCCGGCTTGGGCAACCAGAAGAAAAAACCCAGGAGATTTATCTCTGGTTCCTTCCGGGTTGCCCAGCACTGGGCTGGAATCAGGTGAACAATGTGCTCACCAGGAGTCACTAGGTGACTGTTTTCCGGGTGCCCGGCGCGCAGGGCTCTGCCGGCACCGCGGCTCCAGAGCAGGGCCCCGGCGGAGCGCAGGGAAGCAAGCACCCACGCACGAGGGGTGCCCGGCACCTGCGCCGGGGGCTCCCACCGGAGCGCACGCAGCGCGGGGCCTCGGCGGACCGTGGGTGAGGCCCCGCCCCGTCCCCCTGGCGGACGGCCCCGCCCCGGCGGCTCCTGGCGGAAATGCTCCTCCCGACCACGCAGCGCCGGCCCCGCACTTCCGGCAGGAGGATCCCGGCCCGGAGCGCCCGGAGCACCCGCAGCCGAGGTGAGTGGGCGCGCCGCTGGCCTCCGCGCGCGCCCGGGGCGGGGAGGGCGGGGGAGCGGGTCCCGGCCGGGCTCTGGGGGGCGCCTGGGCTCCTGCCCCCGTGGAGGGGCCCCGGGCCTCCACGCACCCTCCTGGGCATTGCCTGAGCCCCGCGGCCAGCTGGGCCTGGACCCCGACCGACGGGAGGCACGCCTGCCCGGCTCTGCCCGCGGAGAGGCTGCATCCCGCGTGGGCTGGAGGGAGGGGCGGCAGTCAACTCCGCAAACAAGGAACGTCAGGTGGTAGGAGGGGTTATGAGGATGACGAGGGGCCCTCGAGGGGACTTCAGCCACACGGTGTGTGGATCAGTGTTCTAGGCAGAGGGAACAGCAGGTGCAAAGGACACTCTCGGGCTTGAGGTGTTTGACCCAGCGCCAGGGGCCAGCCTGCTGGGTGCTGGGGGCGTGGTGGGCGAAGGAGGTTGCAGCTGACCGCAAAGTCCAGGTGGTGGAGGACTTTCAGCAGGGCCATCCTGAGGCCTTGGGAGTCTCTGTGGCTGATGGTCCGCTTTCTGTGCTTCGGCGTCTCTCCAGGCTGGAGGATGGGGCCTGGGAGTGCAGGGACAACAGAGGGAAAGCAGTCAGCAGGTGAATGAGAGCTGTGGCTTGGACTGTGATGTAGGAGCAGAGGTGAAGAGCGTAGCTGATCAGGAAATAGATTGGAGGTGGAACAGGACAGGATTTGAGGAAAGAGGGAAAGAGTGGTCAAGGACAGTGTCCGTCATCGATTTGGGGGTATAGGCTTAAGTAACCAGACATATTATGCTGGCATTTACTAATGACGGCGGGGACATGAGTCGAGACATCAGCTTGGGGCACTGTGAGTTTAGGTGTCTCGCGGAGCTCAAGTTAGCTGCACTAGCCCGGAGCGCGTAGAAAAGGTTAGGGCTGATGTGAGGAATTGAGAAATCATTGGCCTGTCGGTCGATGGGATGCGATTCCACAAGGTGGGAATTGAGATAGAAAAGAGAAGCCAGGGTCCAGCATCAGGCACCCCGTTTTTACAGGTTGGGTTGGCAGAGAGAGTCCAGAAAAGCAGAAGAAACCCTGGAGAATGTGGTGTGGCATCCAAGAGGTTTGTCTGGGTGGAGGAAGTGGTCAGTTGTGTAAGGTGCTGGTGAGGCTAGACACTTGGCCCTTGAAGGGCAATGAGGAGGAGGGTGTGGTGACTCAGTGGAGCAGTTCAGACAGGCTGGGGAGGAGGCCCTACAGTGAGCCAGCATCACGTGCTGTACCTGATGCCCCTGGCTCCCCTCCCAGGAGGCTCGCGATGTTATCCTCCTTCATAGGTGGGGAAACTGAAGTGCAGAAGTCAGGTACCTTAGGGTCACGAAGCGGTAAGGAGAGGAGCCAGGGTTTGATCCCAGGTCTTTCTCCACGCCCACACTTCCTGAGCACTAAGCTGCTGCCCAGTTCCAGCTGGGGAGCTGGGTGGTGTGGTCACGCACCCGCTGACGTGGCTGCGGCTCCGAGCTACGCTGCCCCGGGGGAAGGTGAGGCAAGGAGGCAGTTCCTTTCCTGGGCACATGAGATTCGAAAGAGCAGGTGCTCCTTGAAGCCTGGTTTCCCTTATCGTAAAATAAGGGTGAGGACCTTATCGGTTACTGCCTCTATCTCCAGTGCTAGGTATACAGGTATGCTTCATAAATGCATGTTGAGTGAGTGGCTAGGTGATTTCTAAGAGCCCTACTAGCTGAGGTCTGATAATTGTGTTTGGGGTTCGGTGACCTAAATGATAGTAAGAGAAGGAGTGTTGGTAACTGAGACGGTGCTCCCTGTGGGCGGGGTAGTCATGGGGACTTCCCAGAGGTGGGTTCCTGGACTGGCTCTTTGAAGGAGGGGCAGGATTTGAACTGTGGAGGGCAGAGGGCACTGCAGTGTTGGAGCAGGAACAGCAGCAAAGGCAGAAGGTATGAGAAGCAGATCCACAGAAGGGTCAGACTGCCCTGGCTTGGAAGCTGTGGCTGGGAGCCTGGGGAGGGCCCGCTAGAAGAAAGATCTCTCAGTGCCAGCTTGCCCTGTGGTCACCTGGGTGGTGTCAGCAGCCCTTCTCAACAGGGAGCAGTTTGTCCCCAGGTAACATTTGGCAGTGCCTGGAGACATTCTTGTTGGTCATTACTTGGGATGAGGGGCAGGGGTGCTACAGGTATCTAGTGGGTAGAGACCAGAAATACTGCTAAACATCCTACAATGCACAGGACAGGCCTTCTCCCCACAGGGCACTATCTGGCTCCAAATATCAGTAATGCCAAGGTGGAGCAGCCCGCGTCTAGAGGAGGGAATCTGGGCCTTGAGATCTGTTGGACCGCACTGTGTAGCTGTTGGCAGGATGCGGACTGGGGGTGCCGGGAGAAGCAGAAAGAACCATATGGGAAACTAAGGCATCATATTGGGCGGGGCGGGGACAGTGGCTCAGGTGGTAGTGGTGGAAGTCAGGAAATGTGATCATATTTGAGATATTTTTTGAAGGCAGAGCTGAGAGTATTTGTTGATTGAATGTAGGCTGAGGGAAAAGAGGAGTCGAGGATGAGAACAGGGTTTCTGGCCCCAGCGGTGCGGTGCCTGGTGGGGCCACGGCCGAGGTGGGGCAGGAGCAGGTTTGAATGGGGCTAGGGGACTCCTGGAGAGCAGGACCCGTTCTGGAGAGGCTGGGTGAGACGCCTGGCGTTGGACATCCAGGTGAAGAGGACGAGTAGGCAGTTGGATTTCCTGCATTTGACCTGGGGGTCAGGGGCGCACTCTGGGAATGTAGTTTACAGAAGAAGGCATTTCAAGGAAGGGGCCCACGTTAAGCAGAATAGCATAGTGGTGCGCAACCTCGTGGATGCAACACCCATGTTTTTTTCCTCACCTGAGGATATGCTTTTCATTGATTTTTTTTCTTTATTGATTTTTAGAGAGAGAGGAAGAGAGAGGGAGAGAGAGGTAGAAACATCGATGAGAGAGAACATCGATTGGCCGCCTCCTGCATGCCCCCCACTGGGGATCAGGCCCACAACCTGGGCATGTGCCCTGACCAGGAATCGAACCAGCAAGCTCTTGGTGCGTGGGTTGACGCTCAGCCACTGAGCCACACTGACCAGACTCACTGATTTTTTTTTTTAAGAGAGAGAGAAACATCAGTTGGCTTGCCTCTTACATGTACTCCCACCAGGGATCGAACCACAACCCAGGCATGTGCCCTGATTGGGAATCAAACCCACCACCTTTCGGTGCACAGAATGACACTGCAACCAACTGACCCACCCGGCCAGGACAACACCTTCTTTTTAATGACAAGTATTTTGTTAACAACCTCTCCTCCCTTACAATCTTAAAATGAAACTTATGGTTCAAAAAACTGCCTACATGTAATTTTTTTTTCTTCATTGATTTTTAGAGAGGGAGGGAGGGAGAGAGAGAGAGAAACATTGATGAGAGAGAACATTGACTGGCCACCTTGTGCACATCTTCATTGGGGATTGGGCCCACAACCTGGGCATGTGCTCTGACCGGGAATCGAACTGACAACCTCTTGATGTGAGTTGATGCTCAACCACTGAGCCATACCGGCCGGGCCATATAATTTTCTAAATTGGAATTGCCCCATCCATAATGTAAAAGAGAACTGAAAGGAAAGTAGCTGGCAATGCAGTGGCTCAGTCTGTAAGCTCCTGGGCACAGGGTACCAGAAGCTACAATGAAGCAGCCCCTGCCTTCCCCGCTCCTGTGGAAGTGGGGACTCGGGCCACGGTGCAGACTGCTGCAGGGCGCCGTGTGGCCGCTCGAAACTCACGCACACGGTGGCCGTAGGAGATGGGGGTTCTCCAAACTGGGAGCGCATGGAACCCTTTTATCAAAAACAGTTCAGTCTCACCCTGGTTGATTTGGCTCAATGGTTAGTGTTGGCCCGAGGATCGAAGAGTCTTGGGTTTGATTCCAGTCAAGGGCATGTACCTTGGTTTCGGTTCAGTCCCAGCCCTGGCCAAGGTCGTACAGGAGGCAACCAATCAATGTGTCTCCCCCTCTCCCTCTCCTTCTCCCTCTCCCTCTCCCTCCCTCCCCTTCCCACTCTCTCTGAAGATAAATGGAAAAATATCCTCAGGTGAGAATTAAAAAAAATAAATTTAGAAACAAAACAAAACCAGCCCTGGCCAGTTTGGCTCAGCGGTTAAAGCGTCAGCCTTCTTCGGTCCAGAGAGACCAGGGTTCGGTTCCCGCTAAGGGCATGTATCTCGGTTGCAGTTTGTCCCCGGCCCTGGTTGGTCGTGCGGGTGGCAGCCACTCGATGTGTCCCTTTCACGTCGATGTTTCTCTCTCTCTCTCTCTTCCTCTCTCTCCCTCCCACTCTATCTGATCAAAAAATGAAAAAAAAAAATGTCCTCGGTTGAGGATAAAAAACAAACAAACAAAAAAACAAAACCAGTTCAGTCTCTCCCCAGTGTACGTGGTAAATGTATCCTTGGGGAGTTTAGTACCTGGGAGAACCATGGAAAAACTGCTCTGTGTTACCTGTGAAACAGCTGGGTTCTAGGTTCAGGTCATTATAAGCAGATCTTTTACCTACAGGAATCTCAAGTCATGCAGGGTGCAGAACCGTTCTCGGTTGTGTGGACTGTCCCCCCACCCCATAGTCCCCAATCACTAAAAATAGAAGTATTCCCCCAAAACACCGCCATGGATTCCCAGAGTTCCCCTGAAGAGAACCAGAGTCCTAGGGTGTCCTTGGGGACAGGAGCTGGTGCCAGCTCCCAGTTTGCCTTGGGGGAGGAGAAGTGATAACCCAGGTTCCAGAGTACAGCAGCAATGTAAATACCACTTCAGAAAGGACTGGGGAGGGGACGCTGGGGTATGTCTGATCAGATGGTCCTGGAGGGCTTCAGGGAGGTGGCATTGCAGCAGGGTGGGAACCACAGGAGGGGCGGGAGGAGGGACACACAGATAAAGCAGCAGGTGGGATAATGCTGGACTGGGGTGTCTGCCTGGTCTCCCCAGGGTCTGCGTGCTCTGGGCACTCACCGGGGTTGGCTGGTTGATGGGGAGCCAGGAAGTGGTTTAGTTTGACAAGCCCCTAAGGCAGGCTCCGTGTCTGTGACTGGTGGGAGGCTAGGGCAAGGTAGGTGTTGGCTTCCTGGTCCGTTTCTAACACCTCAGAGTCCCCTGGAAAGGGTAGGCCCTCCCTTCTGCAGTGAGTCGTCACCATGGGAGAACGCCCAGTGTCCCAGGGGTAAGGCCAGCGTGGACACGGTGGGCCCTCTCTTTGTGGAGGGACACAACGTCACTCAGTCACGCCCCGCACAGGTTCGCCGAAGGAATCGAAGGAATCGTGGGGGAGCCGCGAGAGCAGCCTGTCTGGGCCCCCACCACATGCGGGAGGGTCCTGAGGAAATAGCCTTGGAGCTGGAGAGAGTAGATCAGCTGGAGAAGTAGCAGAAGGAGGGCAGAGCCTGGGCTCCTCAGGCGGGGGGTGGGGGTGGGGGCGCAGGTGGGACGAGGGCCCAGCTGAGCCAGAGAGGTGGGCAGGGGCCCGGTCGGGCCTTTTCCACCTAAAGGTTTTGATCTTCATCTTAGGAGCACTGGAAGCCACAGAAGGGCTTTAGGCAGAGGTCTGACATGATCAGATTTATGTTTTCTAAAGGTCACTTTGGTAGCAATTCATGGAGAACAGCTTGAGGCGACAAGAGAATGGATGTGACCGGGAGCTCTGCTTGAGCGCCTGAGCTGGGTGTGGGCTCCTTCCTGCTGTCCAGCTGTCTGCTCTGCTGGGCTCTTTCCTGCTGTCCGTCCGCTCTGCTGCGCTCCCTGCCGGCCAGGCCCGTGCAGGCGGAGTTGGGCCCTCACTGTGCCCAAGCCACCGAGCTGCTTTCTCATCCTTCTAGCCTCAGACCTGGGGACCTGTGAGCCCTGCATTCGGTCAGCCATGGAGAGGGTTGGCTCGGGCCACCAGCCCCTGAGGTGAGGACTCCGCCTAGGGCTCCGTTTACCGTCCTGAGCCATGGAGGTGAAGAGAACTCTAACCAGGCGACATTCCTGTTGAAAGTCGTGGCCCAGGTTCAGCGGCTCCCCCTGCAGCCTGTCTTCTGGAGAGGTGCCTGCACCCCCACCCCAGCTAGAGAGCGCCCCTCCCACAGATGGGGAGGTGGGCCCTCGACCTGGCCTTTGTGTGGAAGGCGGTGTTGACCCTGGGGCTGGTCCTCCTCTACTACTGCTTCTCCATCGGCATCACCTTCTACAACAAATGGCTCACAAAGGTGACTTGGGGCCTGTGTGTGGGGACGAGGGAGGTGCCTGGGGCTGCAGCATCCCCAGTATTTAACAGTAGGAAGGCGTGGGCTTCAATGAGTCTCACTAGTGATGGCCCAGGGTCCCAGAGCCAGCCCTGCCAGAATTCCCCTGAAATGTTTGGATGGAGGGGAAATTGGCAGGGGGCACAGGGATGAGCTGGGGAGACTTGAGGGGCTTCAGCAGCAGCTGTTGACCAATGGGTAGAAGAGTAGTTCAGTCCTCCCATGACTGGCACAGGCCTCCTGGCCGGCTCTGGCTCTGACCGGGGTGTGGGCCATGGGGAGGGCTGGAGCAGGTCGCCAGGGGCTGTAGGGGTGGAGACAGCCCCGCGCTTCGACTGAGTGCCGTCCTTCCACCTGCTGTCTGCGTGCCTCCACTTGGGGCTGAGTGTCGCGTGCTCTGGGGCTGGTGTGGGTGAAGCCCCGGCACACAGCAGCAGAGCCCTGGGGCAGGCCCAGCCGGTGGGAGGGGGGAGAGTGGGAGGGGGGAGAGTGGGCGGGGCGAGCGCGGGCGGGGCGAGCCCTCCGGCTGACCCGTCTGCTCCGGGCCTGCAGAGCTTCCACTTCCCGCTCTTCATGACCATGCTGCACCTGGCCGTGATCTTCCTGTTCTCCGCCCTGTCCCGGGCGCTGGTCCAGTGCTCCAGCCACAGAGCCCGCGTGGTGCTCAGCTGGACCGACTACCTCAGAAGAGTGGCTCCCACAGGTGCGTGCCTGGGGGGGCGCCGCAGGAGGGTCGCTTGGGAAGCCATAGGCCAGGAACACAGGGGGAGCCTCCATGGCTTGAAGCTTAGGCCCCTCTCCCCACCCCCACCCCCACCCCGTGTTTTCTCCTCTGCCTGCCCTACCCACCCCCATTTCCGCCCCTTATGTACCCCATCTTCCCCTTCACCCCAAGAAGGCCCCAGGCAGCAGTGGCCTGGTAGTGCCCTTGGCCTTGAGCGGGCGCACTGACTGTGTTCCCAGGCCCGGAGATGTGAGCAGAGGAAGGGAACCAGCCAAGGCTGGGCCGGGAGGGCTCCCCAGAGCAAGGGCTGCGTTGGCGGAGACCTGGAGGGCGCCTGGGAGGGAGGGTGCTCTGTGCCCCGAGAGGTCTGCAAGGGAACTGAGTGTCTCAGGATGCTGAGCTCGGCGCTGGGGAGAGGAAGTGGGAGAGGTGAGAGGTGGCGGGTCAGGCCTGGAGGGCCAGGGCCTCTGAAGGGTTTGAGGGTCAGAGTGCTACCTGCCAGCAGGGGGGTGCACAGTATTCAACAAGTGGGAGCACAGGCCCCGCCAAACAAAGTGGATGCAGCCTGAACACTGGAGCAGACCCCCCCCTTTTCTTGGCCAGGAGTTAACCTTTTAGTCGCTGGATAGAAAGGGAGGCCTGAAGGCCCCCAGAGAAAGCCAGGGTGAGCAGGGCAAAGTGGGGGGCACTCGGGTGCCTCACAAAAGTGTTCTAATAACTGGTGCCCCCATGCTGCCTGCCCTTTCTCCCCGCATGTCCGGTGGGCGCCCCTTGTCCTTGTCTCCACAGCACTGGCTACAGCACTTGACGTGGGCTTGTCCAACTGGAGCTTCCTCTACATCACCGTCTCACTGTGAGTACCGCCAGGCCTGCGCCTCCCCGGCTCCAGCTCTGTGTCCCCCCGCTGTCTGCACACCTGACCCACAAGCCGCCACCGCCCACTCCGGAACCAGCCCTCCCCTCTCAGTTCTTCCCTGACACCCAGCGGCTCTGCAGAAGCTCACCTGCCTCTTCCCTAAGCCGGGCGCACGGGGATGCCGTGCCCGCCTGCCAGGCAGCCTGGGGAAGCCAGCGCTCAGACAGAATGCCCACAGCCGCGGCTCGGGAGGACGGGCGTGACGATGTGCAGAGCACACAGTGGCACAGAGGGAGGCCTGACAGGACCTCTTATCTCCAGTTCTGTGCTTCGGAGAGCACAGCCCTCCTGCTCTCTCCTCTGCTCCCTCGTCCCCACCTGGGCTGCAGTCACAGGCCGTGAGCTCCGCGTCAGCCCCGCAGCCTGTCTCCCTGCGACAGTTACAGGCCTCGTAGAGCGTTCTTTCAATTCAAGGCCACTCACTTGTCAACCCAGATGACTCGGGCCACCTTCTTTTGGTCTTTTGTGCCCAGGTTGCCCTGCTGCCCTGAGCAGAGCCATCGCCCTCAGGGAAGGCAGGAATCCCCCCCCCCCCCCCACTGAGTGTACTTGGGGCTCCTTTCTGAGTGGCGGCCCCAGCGCTAGTCAGCATTGTGGTAATTTCCGCTTCCAGGTACACAATGACCAAATCCTCAGCCGTCCTCTTCATCTTGATCTTCTCCCTGATCTTCAAGCTGGAGGAGCTGGTGAGGCCCAGCATCCCTTTGCCCCTCCTACCCCCACAGGTGCTGAGAATAAAGAGGGGTCTGAGCAGTGGCTGTCACTGTGTGACAGGAGACGAGCCCAGCCCAGGTGCAGAAGCTCCCGTCGCCGAGGAAGGACCTAGGGCTGGGCGCTACTGAAAAGTTTTAGAAAGTGGTGTGGCCAGCAGGGGCAGTGACCAGGGACAGGGGGCCAGGTCGGGTCAGGCTGGGCCGGAGGCTCCCTGCGGTGCGAGGCAGTACTCGTATGTCCTGACGTCCTGGTCCGGGGAGGGAGGGAGGCCACTTGGAGCCTAGGACAGCCATAGGGAAGCCCTTCAGTATTTTAGGGCAGGTAGGGATGTTGGGGACATGCCGGCAGAGTGTCGGCCCTGCATACATCCATGGGAAGAAGCTGGCCAGGACCTCCCAGGGTGGGGGACGGGGGGATAGCCAAGGTGTCTGCTGACCCCCACCCCGGTAGGTGACCCTGAGACTCCCGAGTGAGTTGCCACCTGTTCCCCATCCCAATAGCGCGCGGCGCTGGTCCTGGTGGTCCTCCTCATCGCGGGGGGCCTCTTCATGTTCACCTACAAGTCCACACAGTTCAACATGGAGGGCTTCGCCTTGGTGCTGGGGGCCTCGTTCATCGGCGGCATTCGCTGGACCCTCACCCAGATACTCCTGCAGAAGGCGGAACTCGGTGAGGAGGGGCCCGCACCGGCGGGGTGGAGGCGGGCCGGCCAGGCCCGCTGGCTCACCCGTGTCACCATTCTGCAGGGCTCCAGAATCCCATCGACACCATGTTCCACCTGCAGCCGCTCATGTTTCTCGGGCTCTTCCCTCTCTTCGCCATATTCGAAGGTAGGTTGGGCCGTCCACCTCGGGGCCCCTCGGTACAGCAGATCCCCAGTCCCGGCTCTCAGCCCAGCGCTGTGGTAGCTGCCGAAACACAAGTCCGAGGGGTGGCCCCTCTCCTGGCAGTGTTGGGGGACTGGACAGACACTTAAACCAAGTCACTAGAATCCAGCATGATAAACCTAGAGAGTCCCGGGTTCGGTTCCCACTAAGGGCACCTACCTCGGTTGCAGTTCATCCCGGCCCCGGTTGGGGTCATGTGGGTGGTGACCACTCGATGTGTCTCTCTCATGTCGATGTTTCTCTCTCTGTCTTCCTCCCTTTCTCCCTCTTCCTCTATCTGAAAACACATGCAAAAATGTCCTTAGGTAAGGATTAAAAAAATAAAAGTGCATGAAATGGGGCAGCCGGTAATGGCAGTGAGCGTGTTCAGCCCGAAGCTACACCGGCGCTGTTCTCGTCGTTTACGTAGATCAGCTCTTCATGCTCTCCCAGACCCCATGGGCCAGCGCTATCAATGTCCCCGTCTTGCAGGTGAAGGAAACCGAGGCAGAGAAGCAGATAACCTTGCTTGGGGCCCACGGCTCGTGACCGAGCCTGCGCTGGGTCCAGGAGCTGGCTGCAGAGCCCCTCCTAACCTTGCGCTGCGCTCTGCAGACTTGGGCGGGGGAGGGCCCAGGTCTGTCTCAGCAGGGCGGGGCGGGAAGGCAGCCAGAAAGGCTTCCCAGACAGTGATCTGAGGGTGGGAGTGAAGGAGACTGGACAGGCTGATGGGGGCGGGTGTCCCGAGAATCAGGAGCAATTGATTCAGAGCAGTGGGGTGTGTGTTGGGGGCTGGGGTGCAGGGAGCCAGGGGAGGTGAGTGGTTCCCCTCCACTGGCATCTCCCAGAGAAGGGGCGAGTCCTCTCGCCTGGGAGGTGCAGCCCACGCTCCGTCCTCCGATCTTTGGGATTACTCTGTCCCCTGTCTGTTCATCCTGCCTCCCAGAGTCCCCCCTGTCCTCAGGGTCATGACAAATTTCTGTCCTACATCCATTAAGTTCCAAGCAGCGAAGCGTCGCTGAGAACATTATTCTGCAGCCCCGTTGTCCAGGAAACTTCTGTGCTAGCCTCATTTTTCTTCCTCTTTAAAAATCTCTTCCCATTCCTTCGTTATGCCCCTTGTAGCGAATGCCACACTCTCCCTTCCTGGGTGTTTACACGGCCCCATCTCTGCAACCCTCGTCCGAAAGCCCTGGTCGTGGGCACTTAGCAAAGCTGCATGGATTTAGCTCCTTTAATCTTTTCTGGTAAATTAATCCCCCAAGCGCCTTCGTTACTTATGCTGCTCTCCCCGAACTCCCTTCAGTCTGCCCGTGCCTCTGCGGTGCTGCGGAGCCCAGCACCAGCCCACGTCCTACATGGGGGCTGTTTGCCGGAGGGGAGCCGGCACTGCGTGTCTGACCTCAAAGCCCGGCCAGCCTGCCGCCGCCCAGGAGCGTCCTTTGTGCCTGGTCTGGGCTCCCCTCACATCCTGCTGGTAGTCCCGGCCTTTCCTGCAGAGGGCCCGGGGCCAGACCGGGAGAGTCTGAGCGCAGGAGCTGCGGGATGCCGGTGTGGGCGTCTCAGGAACGGGACCGCGGCTTGTGCCGAATATTTATGTGCAGTGTTTGTTGTTTGAGACTGTTCATCAGATTATGCCATCTGTTCGAGAAGCACTGGCTAGTCCCAGCCCGTTCACTTTATTAGTGGGGGAACTGCTTCAGAAGGGGGTTCTCAGCCCCGTCCCACGACTCTGTTCTCGTTAGGCCTGGATTAGAACAGCGCAGATGCCCTGGCCGGTCTGGCTCAGCGGTTAGAGCGTCGGCCCGCGGACCAGAATCCCGGGTTCGGTTCCTGCTAAGGGCATGCGCCTCGGTTGCAGTTTGTCCCTCGCCTCGGTTGTGTAGGTGGCAGCCACTTGATGTGTCTCTCTCACATTGATGTTTCTCTCTCTCTCTCTCTCTCTCTCTCTCTCTCTTCCTCCTTCTCTCCCTCCCGCTCTAAAATATAAAAAAATAAAATAAAATGGCACAGACTGCTAAGGACATAGTTTGTCCCTGTTTGCAGGTGGCCTGAGATTGAGAACAAGGGACTCCATCGACAGTCCTCACCTCTCTGGCCCGTTAGTTACCACAGCTCCAAGGCCGGGGGAACCACCCCCTCCCCCGCGGGCGGGAGGAAATGCCACCTGAGAGAGCAGAGTGCTCACGGGGATTCCCTCTGCAGTGCCCCCACCCCGCGCCCTCCTCCTCGCTCCCCACCTGTCTCCCGGTCTCGGGCCATCTCCGCCCTCTCTGTCCTCGGGGCCCCGGGCAGGCGGCAGGTGCCTAGGAAGTGTGCCCTGCGACAGTGGCAGGTCTCCCAGCGGCAGGAGGGTGAGGCCGCCCGGCAGGCACACCCAGGACCTGGTCGCGCTCTCTCCCCTGTTGCTTCCAGGTCTCCATTTGTCCACATCTGAGAAAATCTTCCGTTTCCAGGACACAGGGCTGCTCCTGCGGGTGCTCGGGAGCCTCTTCCTTGGCGGGATTCTGGCCTTCGGCTTGGGTTTCTCCGAGTTCCTGCTGGTTTCCAGAACCTCCAGCCTCACTCTCTCCATCGCCGGCATCTTCAAGGTACAGACTGGGGGTGACCCCAGTCCTGTCTTAGAGAGGAGCCCCTAGGGTGTGTCTCACCAGCGGTACAGAGACAGACAGAAGTACATCAGGGTGCTAGGTGCCAGGCTCCGTCTGTGCCCCTGCCGCCCTCACTGCAGCCCGGGGGGTGGGGGGCGTCAGACAGGCAGAGCTGCCTCTGCCCAAGAAAACAGCTCGGGGGCTGAGCGGGGAGGCAGAGCCAGGTCCGACTCCGCCAGGCTGGGGACACGTCTACATTCTACCAGGAATGCCGGCTCTGGTCATCGGCGGCAGCCTGGAGCCGGGTTGAGAAGCCCCCGTCCAGGCTCATCAGTAGCAGGTTCTGTGACTGATCAGCAGTGCCTGCCACGGGCACAGCCTGGGACAGTTAAGTTACGAGAGCCCTGTGCCTGCGGAGCCTGCCTCTCCTTTGGTCGCCTCTCCCTTCCCTCCGCCACCGGGTCTTGCTCCTTCCTCCTCGGGGCCGCGGAGGGAGTTTGCTCTCTGACCCTGGAGCAGTGCTGCCTAAAAGCAGAAATGGAGGCTCCCCAAGGGTCTCTGGTAGCAACCAAATGACAAGGCTTAAGCCGTGGTTCTCAGAATGTCGTGCCATGGTGCCACTTGCGGCCACCGTGCACAAAGAACCCTGGGACCAGTGAGTGTCCCTGGAAGCCCGGTATGACGCTGCGTTCTCCCGGCGGAGGGCTCCCATCGGGGAGTGCCTTCCGGGAGGGGCTCTCCTTCACTCCTGTGGACACGGCTGCGTTTGCTTTGTCCCTTTTATCCTGACAGTTCTGTGGAAAGCACCTCCTTTGTTTCGTCCCAAGTGACACAGGGAGGGAAGCGATACAGGCAGGCCTGTCCTCCCCGTGGAGCTTCCGCTTCGCCTGCGCCGGCCTGCGCGGCGTTCCGGCGGAGTTCCCGGCGTTCCGGCGGAGTTCGGGGAGCCCGGCTCTCCCGCGGTGTGCTCAGTGCCTTGGCCGGCCTTGCAAAGCGGCCAACTCATCCCGCTGATCACGTCCTTTCCTGCTTCTCCGCCCACAGGAGGTCTGCACTCTGCTGTTGGCAGCTCATCTGCTGGGTGATCAGATCAGCCTCCTGAACTGGCTGGGCTTTGCCCTCTGCCTCTCGGGAATATCCCTGCACGTCGCTCTCAAAGCCCTGCACTCCAGAGGTAACTCGAGACCCTTTGGGGAGCCTGTTTTCTGATGACACTCTCCCTGTGACTCCGCTCCTCTGATGTCCCCGCAACCCAGCCCTGCCAGGAAGAGGCAGGTGGCCCTCAGCTCCCCCGGGGGTTCCACTCTGCCCAGTTCAGCCGCCTCTGCAGTGGCTGTTGCTCCAGTTAGGCAGGGTGCCCGCTGGTTCTGCCACCGCCACTCCTGAGAAGCCGGGGGGGTCATCTCTGAGGAGGGGTGGGGGCCTGGTGACTCAGTGCACGCTCACCTCAGGCACACCAGGAAGCTGACTGGGCCGAAACTGGTCTGTCTGTATCCCCAGGTGACGGCAACCCGAGGCCCTCGAAGGGGCTGGGCTCCCACCCTGACCTGGAGCTGCTGCTCCGGAGCAGACAGCCGGAGGGAGATGATCGTGAGGCTGCGGAGGAGGAGGAAGAGGAGGAGGAGGAGGAGGAGTACTTTGTGGCCCAGGGATAGCGGCAACCAGCCAGGAGAGCTGCTTGGAAGCAGGCCTCTCCCGGCTTCATACTGAGTGGCAGCTCCGGGACCCAGGTGGCTCCTCACAGCAGCTGGGAGCAGTGGCCAGGAGTGCCCCGGGCTGGGCCTCGGGCAGCACGTGACCACGTGGTGGGCTGGGTCAGAGAGCTGGTCAGACGATGAGCACCGGGCCAGTCGGACCTGGCCAGTCGGACCCAGGCTGTGCTGGAGTCGGGGACGAAGAGGGCTGCGCTCGGCTCGGCCAGGCTCTGGTTGCCAAGATGATTTTAGAGGCATCAGGTGTCCAAGGGGACTGGGTCTGCGCGTAGAGCAGTTGAGACAGGGAGATGGAGAGGCTGGGGACTTCCCACCGGGACAGCTCTTTGCTCCAAGAGCAGATCTATTTATAGTTTGGAAATAAAGGGTTTTCGGTGCACTGGCCACTTCGTGTTGCCTGGAGGTGGGGGGCAGGGAGGGACAGTCCGGGCCTGGCCCCTCTCCTTTCTTTGCCTGGGGCCTCCTTCAGGTGACTGGTCAGACTGATCGACCTCCATCACCTGTGCTCCTGATCGAGCCCCAGGACCCTTTCTTGGGGCCCAAGCACCCCTGCAGGCAGGGAAAAAATTCATATGCACTGAGTACCATACTCTGGGGACCCAAAAGCTTGCACAGCCTGACTGTGTCACTTACTAGCTGTGTGACCTTAACCAAATTACTTAACCTCTCTGTACCACAGTGTTTTCATCTGTGAAATGGGGGTAATAATTGTCTCAGAGTTGTTCTGAAGATTGGAAACAATTTAAATGTTATAGAGTGTTCATTTTGAAAATCCTTTCAACAACCATGGATCCAAGACCCTAAATGAGTGGCCGACCTGGGATTCCCAGCACCAGGTCTGTGTGCCCAGTGTGCGTCCCTGGAACACACGCTGCTGGGTCTGTGGGCCTCGGCTCCCATCACCTACCTTGGACGAGTCACACTGCCCTCTAGACTGCAGTCCTTATTGAATGATGGGGGAGGACAAGAGCCCGCTCCCATGTGCCTGGGTCCTGAGGCCTGTCCTGTCCCTGCGAGCGGCTGCCCTGGGACTGGGGGACTGCTGGGGGCAGAGGTCACAGCTGCCCAAGCAAAAGTGATTTTAGGCATTCACAGCAGGTGGCGCTATTGCACCACAAGGTGACTCTGGGAACTGCCTACCTACCACCCGAATCCAAATCCAGGCAGGGGTCCTAGGAAGAGGACTGGGTGTCCGCGGGGGACCCCCTGGACAGGGCTGGCTGTGAATTGTTCTGATCAGGCTAGAGCCAGGAAAGCTCACTTCTAAGCCTCGGGAACGTTAACGCGTTAGGAGTGGGCCGTAGACTACAGGCGGCACAGTCGGCATCTCCGTGTGGGGCCACATGGCCTGACAGACGGCACACGCCTTGGCTGTGTTCCAGTGAGACCGTATTTACAGAAACAGGGTTGGGCTTGTTGGCTGCAGTTTGCCACCTCCTGCCATAGAAGAAACTGTAAGAATTGTTGAGGCCCGCTCCCAGTCTTGCAGCAGGGAAACTGAGGCATGACTAGCCTGGGGTCCTCAGAGCCTCCGGGCTCAGGAGTTCAGCTTCACAGCACAGATCTCTTCCGCACGTGGAGGCCGACACCGAGGACCCCGCTGCGGTGGCGCCTTATCTGCTTCCTGCACCTCTGCTCCCCTTGGATCCTGGGAGCTCAGAGGCCAGGATTAAAGGAAGCTCATGTTCCACGAGAGATGATGTGGGGAGAGCCAGCAAAAAGGAGGGGCTGAGCCTCCTCCCCTCAGCCTGAGGCAGCTTGGGATGTAGGATGCTTGGGCTGCGGGAAGCCTGCCAGAGCCCCCGGCTCAGGTGGTTGAGAGCTTCCTGCCTGCCCCCCCACACCATCCCCCTCTTCCAGCACAGGGAGCAAAAGCTGCTTTCTGGTGCAGTAATTACAGGGTGCAGAGCGGGGGCCTTGCTGCCTGCATGTTAGGTTCAATGACAGCCCCTCACTTAGCAGCAATTACCCGCCGATCCTAGAGGAGGCCTCCCTCCCCTTCCCTCCTCCCTGCTGCCCAATCGCCTGGCCTCCCAGGCCAGACCTTGTTCACCCTCGGCTTTGAGCCCTAGAAGCACCCATGCTGTCTGCAGCCATTGCATCTCAGGGCTGCAGCGTTGTCATGGTAACAGGTGCTTGCACAGGTTTCAGGAAGCTGAGGATGTGACTTGTCTCTCCAAGGCTGTGGTGTCTGTCCCCACGAAGCCTACAGCTCCAGGGCTTCTGCGGAGGAGGGAGGAGGGAATGCGGGCTGACCTGCAGGTTCGAGTTTTTAAGTGCTTACATGCCCACCGACTCTCCCAGGAGCCTGCGTGGAAGGAAGGTTATTGCTCCCAATATATGAGGCTGTCTGGTTGAGGTTGTGGTGGGGATGAGACGAGCCGGAGTTTGCCTGTGGGGAAACCTGCCACGGCAGGCAGGGCCTGGAATGCCTTCATCTTCATTCCGGCCCCCTGCTCTGCGCAAGGGCTCAGGGCATCACCTCCATCTGTTTCTGCTCCATTCTGCTGAGAAGAAAAAAAAAAGGAAAATCCCAGCGGCTTGAGAGTAGAGTTTCACGGAACCAAGGGAATGGTCTTTGTGATACTTGCCACAGCTTTTCTGCATCGTGGACTGTCGATGGACTAAGCAGGGTCCCCGATGTGCAGAGGACTGAGGGTGGGGACTCAGATCATCCTTTGGGTTGACAGCATCCAGTGAGTGCTGAGCTTGGGCTAGAGACCTTTGTCTTTGGAGAGATGACAAATGGGGCCATCTTTCCTCCCAGCCCAGGGAAGTGTTGAGGCAGGGGACCAGGGAAACAGGAGAACAGGACCGACTGGTCACGGCACCCTCGAGGTCTCTCACACAGGCTATTTAACCCCTCCACCCCAGTGCAGGAGTTGACTGTACCCATTTCATAGCTGTGGAAACTAGCTTGTGCAGGGTAAGCATGGTGGTGGCCGAGATCACACCTCATGGACTCCACCAGACCAGGGTTTATGTGCCCTGTGATTAGCTGTGTGTCTTGGGCTTGTTGCTGATCCCCTCTGAGCCTGTTTCCGTGTCTAGAAAGCAGGAATCTTAACACACGTCTCCTAATGAAGCTATTGTGAAGATGGACTAATGTCTACAGAGCAGCAGCACAGGCTGGGCACAAAGTGATAACCACTTAGTAAATGTCAGCCACCAGGATGTGACATAACTTGCCCAGGTGGCAAAGCCAGTGTGACAGGAGGAGCAAGCATGAAGTCCCTCGTGCTACAGTGCCCGGTGCAGTGGAGGGAATCCCAACAGTGGGAACTGAAGGGGTTTTGCAGGTCCTGGGGACCACCCTAACTTCGGAGTGATTTTGTCCTGCAAGGAAAAGCTGTTCCCCACCAGCCCCTGAGCCTTCACCCTGACCACACAGCCCTGACATTAGCCAGGCCCCCTCGCCCCTGCTTTGTAGTAACCAACTAGCTTGACTTCCGTTCCCATGGTTATCTGCAGTTTCGTTGGCAACTAGTACATTTCCCAGGAACAGGCCCACAGCCCGGTTATGCTGGCATCCTGCTGGAGGGGCTGTCCCTTCTGGATGTCTGAGGAGAGCCCTCCTGCTGGGACAAGAGAGGGACAGAAGAGAGAGCCAGGGGGGAACGCAGTAAAATGCATTTAATACATTTTTCTAGAGCATCTGCAATGGGCCCTGCCCAGGGAGAGCTGCTGGAGATACAGGAGTCATTAAGATGCTGCCGTCGTCCTCGAGGAACTTCTGCAGGGCCTTTGAATCCAGCAGTTCCCTGGGAGGCAGACTCGGGGATGGAGATTAGTGTGTAGGACATTGCTTAGAAAATGGTCTTGGGAAAAACACGTGTGGGTGGGAGGAGAAGGACGCAGGTGCGGGAGTGGGAGACGTTGAGTCCCGACAAAGGGCTCAGGACGCCCCGGGGAGCCCCGGGACCCAGACGACCCTTCCGATTTGTCCAGAGGTGGGATGAGAGGTTCGGACCTCTGCATTTCTACACTGATCTGTCACTGGAATTGGACCTGTCCCCGGGAGGAGGTGTGGCCTTGGGGGAGGCTGTCTTCTACCAATTAAGAGAATCGACAAAGAGGTCTAACAGCTGAGGGCCACCTTCCAGCCCACTGGCGGCAGCTGGACAATGGGCGTTACACTCCCAAGGTGAGACCGGAACAGCTCAGCACGGCCTCCACTATACCCAGGCCACCGATGCCTGGCTTCAAGGATGACCAGGGGCACCTGCATGTTTGTGCCTTTTTTCTGGGGAAGGCTGCCTTTGATCCCTGAAAGATTAAGAACCGTTGGTCTAGGGAAAGCCAGACTTCCCAAACCTCAAAACAACACGATCAGAGGTGTACACTATAGGTGCTCAGTATAGATGGATGATGGGTGGGCGGGTGGTGGGTGGATGGGTGTCATAACAGAAGAATGATTGGGAGACGAAGGAGCCGCCGATTCTGCCCGGGGCAGGAAAGCAAAACTTTTCAGGAGGAGCTGACCATTTTGAATTGAGTCTTGAAGACCGAGTGGGAGCTGCCAAGCAGACAGAAGGGTGAAGCATCCCAGGCAGGCGGAGCGCAGGTGCTGGGCACTGTATGTAGGAGTTAGTTCACCTGGGCAAGAGGAGGGTCCCCCAGGAGGTGTCCTGATAGGAATTATTCTCCCAGGTTGCTCCGAACCAGCATGTGTCTCCCACCCTCAACACAATTGCCTCTGGGGGGTGGGGAGGTCCCAAAGGTAACCCCACACAAGAGCATCGGGTCATTCACTGTATCCTTTCCCACCCTTGATTTCTTCACTCCTGCAGCCCACCCCTGGACAGATGGCCTTATGACCACCCCACTTTCCGGGTGAGAAGAGGCTCGGGGAGGCTGGGCCACGTGCCACGGTCGCTCACCTCACAGCTCCAGGAGCAGCAGGAGCCTCCCTGGCTGGGACGCCAGTGGTCTCCGCACCTCCTGAGACTGGCTCCTCCGGTTGGGGCCATAAAACGCGGCCCACCGCCAGGGCCACGGGGCGGCAGGGGCAGCCTCCCTCCAGCCATATTTTGCTCTGGGAGGAATCCCCCACTGAGCCCGAGCCTCCATCCTGTTGCAGGGCTGCCCCATGAATTAAACATGCCCCCGTGGTTGGCTCAGTAATGCTTTTATTAATAGTTAATTACTCAACGCGCACTGGGGAAATGAGACTCACTCAGGCCTCGTAAATTAAGACAGTGATCTTGTGGAGAAAGCCAATGGGAGTTCATTACCCCAGCCCCTGCAGTCGCCGCACCCCTGGGCTTGCCACTTAGCAGTGCTAAACGAGATGGGGGGCAGGGGGCAGGGACCTCAGGGTGGAGCTGGGAAGTGGACGATGAACATCGCTCGATTTCTGGGAGAGAGAGAA